TACGTAACTCTTAGTATTTATACTTTAGGTATCTATTCTAGCCTACCTATCTAGACTGTACTATTTAACAGTATATAATACTTAGTCTCTCCTATATTTTACGGAATTTTCTAACTATTAGATCTCGATTAATATCTCCTAGAGAAGACGTTAGGCTAGTATAACTAAGTACTCGCTACTATAGGCTTTAATAAATATCTACTTAATAGTAAAGCGATATATAGCGTCGAGGACGGTAACTCTAAGTACTTAAGCGATAAGCGGAAATACCGTATAGCTTATCTATATCTTTACTTTATAGTTCGTATCTACTTTAAAACTAGTATAGAGCCTATCCTTTATAAGCTCGATAAACTATTCGCTACTTATAATTAGAGGCTAGTATAAGCTATATTAGCTATATTTTATATAGCTAGCTAGCTAATTCTTAAGTAGAATAATAAACTACTTACCGAGGATCTTTAGATATTAGACGGTCTTATCTAGGCTATAGGTACTTATATTAGAGAGCTAGAAAGAGGATAGAGGAGCGAGTACTTTAGAACGAGTACTTTATATTAACTCCGTTCTCTCTATCTACTTCGCCTTCCTCTTCTCTTCTTCTATCCTCTTTATAGAATAGTATACTAAGCCCTAGAATAGGCTAAGAAATATCTAGTTAGTAGTATATCTTATTTAATACTATATAACTACTCTAGGTATCCTTCTTACTTCTACTATAACCCTAACCTATTAATAGAGTATTTTATTAGAGAGGCGAGTACTATACTTACTATAAGACCTACTATAAATAATACTCGCCTAATATAATATTTAACCTCTAGCTTTTTAATATTTACTTAACTAGCTATAAGGCCTATAGGATTTAGAATAATACTAGCCTATATAGAGAGCTACTAGTAATAGGGATTTAACTAAGATAGTATAAGTACTACTATAGCTTATAATAGACTCTCCTCTATAGGCTAACGCTAGTACTTAGTCGTTATTATAAAGAGTAAGAGGAAAACGAGTACTTCGAGAACGAGTATTCCTTTAGAAACGACCTCTAACCTACTATACTTAATATAGGTTATATTCTATAGATAAGAGATATAGATTAATATCGACGACGATAACAATATTAAGACCTAGTTCTATAAAGACTCTATCTAGTTAACTACTATATATATTAGGTTTAGAGCTAGATACTATATTACTTTAAAGAAACTCTTCCTTAAGTATATTATAAGTATTTACTTACTCGGTTCTATAGGTATATCTAGTCTTTTTATAGATCTAATAATATACTATAAGTACTTCTTCTTTAAAGATAGGAATACTCGTAATAATATACTAATACTAATTACCTAGTCTATACTCGATTTAGATAATATTAAGTTAATATTAAAAATAGTCTATATAATAGAAGATAAAACTAGGGATAAAACTATAAATATCGTTATCCTATTTATAGAGGAGCTTTAGAAGGCTAGGACTAAGTCGAATAAGAAAAAGGATAAAAGTAAAGTAAGTACTATAATACCTATAAAGAAGCGTCCTTACTAATTAAGTACTATTACGAGCCTAATTCCCTATAGGATACTAGTACTAACCTATTTAAAAGAACCTATACTAGTAAATATTATATAGAGTATTAAGAAGTAACTATTTATTAAGAAGGAGCTATTAAGCTATATAGTACGAACGATTAATACCTAGAAGATACTAGAGTTTATCGATATAATAAAAGATAGTATATAGAGTAAGTACTTTAGTAACGACCTATAAATAGCTAGGTAGAGGGATTAATATTAAAGTAAGTAGGTTAAGAGCGAATACTAAGATTAATAATTAAGTAGCCTTTAATAGCTAGAGAAGAAGAAGTAGTAGCTAAGGTATAAACCTAATAGATATAAGTAAATAAAAAGATATAGGATTATTAGAAAGCTATATATTTAAAGTACTCGCTTATATAAGGCTACGAGCGCTATATTAACTTATAATTCTCTAGTTTAGGTCCCTCGATCTACTTATTAATCTTAGCTAACTTATTATCTATTTCTATAGTCGTCTAATTAATCTAAAACTAAATAATAGAAACGATCTCTTTAACTATAGTACTAGTACTCTTATAACTAGTAAAAGACGGACCTAATTAAGCTTTAGTAAGCTCCTCGAGCTCGTACTTAACGAGCTTAGATACTTATATATACTAGCTAGGAATAATATAGTAATAGGCGACTATAAAATTACTATAAGCCTAGTTAAAAAGGTTTATAAAACGATTCTACTAGTAAGTACTTTCGTTAGTATAAATACCTAGCTTAATAATAGTATTAGTAGTCTACTTACGATACTCGTAGTACTCGCTAAGCTCTTACTTAAGCTTCTTAATCTCCCTACTTTAATACTTAATATATCGAATAACTTTATTCTACTCTTTATAAGTTAGTATATAGAAGAGAGTCTTTAGAGCTAGTATATTAAGCTCTAAATTAACCTTCTATAAAGTACTAAATAAGATACTTATATCTATAGCTACTATAGCTAGTATAGTCGCTTTAGTATTACGAGTACTATTTATAGTATCTTATATATCCTCTATATCTATATTCTCGCCTATAGTCTTTTAAATATATCTACTAGTACTCGCTATATAGCTACCGTACTAGTAGAACTTATAGCGAGTATATACTATAACCTCTATCTTAAATATTATATATACGTAGCCTCTATTAGTATATACTTAATAGATATAAGTAGTATAAGTACTTTTATCTATCTCTTTAATATAACTAGTATAATCGTACTTCTTAAGCCTCTAATTAAGATTACGCTTTACTTAGGTAGCCGCTTACGAGTACTATACGACGAGGATATTAAAGTTATCTTTAGTAATTAAGTAGTACTCGCCTTTAGTTATAAAGTAGCGATATCTATATAGATTATTAGTAATAGCTTTATAAATACTTTAGGCGAGTATATACTATATTTAAGTCGCTATACTCGCTATTATCGCTATTATCTTTAGATTACAAGTAGTATAAGTAGTTTAAAACGAGTATAAAAATAGCGATATATAAAGTTATACTAGAGCGATAATAGGCGTTTAAATAGTATTATTTTTAGTAAAGGAGAGGTTTAAGTAAAGCGAGAAGTGAAGTGAGGTCTATCTAATAATAAGGATTAAAAGTCAATCGAGCACCTGCCTAGGTCATATAGGTTGAGATATTGTTAGGTGCGGCCTGCCGTCCTCGGCTGACCTTCCCTTGCACACATTCACTCGTGCCCCGCCGCCGTCTGTGCTTGCTCTCGTGCCTGAACTTAGAGGGACCGACCTACCTCCAACTTTCCGTCCACCACCCAGACACTTTCACCTGCTGCTTGGTGCCTGTTTCCTCAGGCCGCCACCTGCCTCTTGTTGTCTTTACTTAAACCCCCTCCCCTCCTCCACCTCGCCGGTGTCGCTGACACCTCCGCCACCCTCACCACCCACCATGGCGTCGACGAGCGTGCCTCAGAATCCCACCTCGCACAATGTCGCCTCGCTGCTGCCCAAGCTGCAGGACCCCGACTCGGATATCCGCTACATGACCCTCAACGACCTCAACCAGATGATGATCAACGGCCACCAGACATTCCTCTCCCATGACTACACCACCTGCGCTAAGGTCGTCGACGGCCTGCTACACACCCTCAACGACTCGCACGGCGAAGTCCAGAACATGGCTATCAAGTGTCTGGGCCCCTTCGTCAACAAGGCGCCAGAGTCCATCCTTAGACCAACCATCGCCAAGGTCAGCAAGATCAAGACCGACAGCAGCATCGACACGTCCATCCCCGCTCTTGCCGTTCGAGCAATCGTCGTTGCTCTCCCACACCCAGTCCTAGGCGTAGCGAGATCAACAAAGGTCGACGAGGCCTACACTGCTGTTTCACAGGCCCTCATCCCACGGCTGGTCGGCAGAGTCATCATTCCGATTCCGAACAACAAGTCCAATGAGACCCCGGGCGAGGGCATGTTGGTGCATGATCTGGAGACGGGAGAGGATAGCAATAGCTTGGATCTGTTGACCGAAGTTGCGAAATGCTTTGGTCCCATGCTGAAAGATCCTGAGATTCAGGCACTTGAGCAGGCTACTATGCAGATCCTCGAGAGCGAGCGATGTGGCACGGTCGTGAAGAAGAAGGCAGTTACAGCCCTTTCTGCTCTTGCACCATACTTCAACGACAGCGTATTGGCTAATCACGTCAGCTATACTATCCAGCAGCTTCGTCAGCCACATCTCACCAACCAGCAACGCAAGCTATACATTACCGTCTACGGCAGCTTGGCTCGCAGTATTCCTCAGAAGTTCGGCCCCTACCTCAAGACCCTTGCACCCTTTGTCCTCGCACCATTGAGTCAGCAAGAGCTGGATCAGCAGAGAGAAGCGGAGGCAGAGGCAGATGGCGAGCGTGATGTGCAAATGGAAGAGGTGCGTGAGGCCGCACTGGTGGCGGTGGAAAGCTTCCTGGAAGCATGTGCGCAAGACATGAGATCGTACACAAAGGATGTGCTAGAGGCAGCAACGCGGTTCTTGAAATACGAGCCCAACATGGCAGACGATGACGATGAAGACATGGACGAGGAGGAAGAAGAGGAAGACGAGTTCACAGGAGACGAAGATTTTGAGGAAGAGGCTGGTTTTGAAGATGAGGATGATGTGAGCTGGAAAGTGCGGAGATGCTCAGCCAAGACGCTGCACGCACTCATCGGCATGCTCGACACGAACGATCCAGCCATGTACGGCCAGATTGCTCCAGCGCTCATTGCGCGGTTCAAGGAGCGGGAAGACAGCGTGCGGACTGAGATCATCTCGACACTGGCATTCCTCATCATCAAGACCGGCTCGCATACGGCAGTGCAGAAGCATGAGGAGCACGTTCTCTTACCTCAGAGCAGGAAGAGGAGACGTGGTTTCAGTGACTCCCTGGGCTCTGATTTTCATGCTCAGCAGTCCATCATGAACGGCTACGCTTCGCCCAGCACACCACCTCCCGTCGACAACGCCACTCAAGGTTTGGCAAAGATCAACCCCGAAATCGTAAAGGGTGCGGCGAAGCTCCTCAAGTCGAGCACCATCCCCACGAAGAAGGCTGTCATTTCATTGCTCAAGGACATGGTTGTTGCACAGCATGGTGGTTTGTCTGAGCATGCGGACCTCGTCGTCGACCCGGTCATCGAGACCATGAGCGGCAACACTGGCTCTGTCTCGAACGTCGCTGGCAATGCACTTCGCATTGACGCTCTAGCCCTCCTCCGCGTTGTTGCTGAGATGCACTCGAGTAAGGTCATCCAACCACACTTGAAGAAGATCGTCCCTGCTCTCGTTGCAGCAGCCAAGGACCGCTATGCACTTGTGTCAAGCGAAGCATTTTCAACCATCGAAGCGTACATCAAGGCGCTCACGCCGCCACGATCCGCTGCAAGCAAGACCGGCGACGTTCTGACGAAACTGTACAATGTCATCAGCGAGCGCATCTCCGCTCAAGACACCGATACTGAAGTCAGACAAAAGGCAGTTCGGGCTCTGGGTCTACTGATCGGCCGCACTTCTGGCTCTGCAGCATCCAGCCTGCTTTCGCAGCAAGATCGCTTCGCGGGACAGCAGCTCCTTGCTGAGCGTATGAAGAACGAGCTGACTCGCCTTGCATGTGTGCGTGCCATAGATACGATTGCTGTTCTGGCACAGAGCAAGAAGGACTTCAAGCCTGACTTTGTCGGCACTGTCGCTTTGGAGCTCGGCGCTCAGCTTCGCAAGGCCAGCCGTTCCCTTCGCGGCGCCAGCTTGAGTGCACTTCGCATGCTGGCCATCAACCAGGCTTCACGAGAGGCGATTGACGACAGCGCGGTAGCTGAGCTCGTGAAGATGCTGGTCCCACTGCTTGGCACTGAGGACTTGCACATGATGGCCCCGGCTCTTGTGGTCCTTGCTGCGTTCGCCAAGGACAAGCCTCAACTCGTTGCCACCCAAGATGTCATCAACGGCATCTGCGCCATTGTTCGGTCGCCACTTTCCGGCCCAGCGCTCGACTCACTCATAACTTGTGTCGAGGCAATCGGTCATGGTTCAGCTGGAAAGAATCTCATGGCGGCACTCCTACAGATCGCTCCTCAAGGCGACACTGATGTTACAGGGCAGGTTATTGGCACGCTTCTCGTATCTGGCGGTGACAGCCTTGGTGTCAATCTGGATGCGTTCATCAATGAGCTACAGACGCAGTCTGAAGAAAGCAGGCGATGCTTGGCCCTCTCTGTGCTTGGCGAAGCTGGCCTTCGGATGGGTACGAAGAGCCCGTTGAAGCCAGACACATTCGTGAAGTATTTCGATGACGGATCTGAGAAGGTCAGACTGGCTGCGGCCGTTGCACTGGGCAGAGCAGGTGCTGGTAACGTCAAGCTGTACCTCCCCAAGATCCTGGACGGTATGGCACAGGGTCGGCAGTATCTGCTGCTTCACTCAGTGAAGGAGCTTCTCCAGCACAGCACTGCAGAGGACGAGATCAGACCTTACACCAAGAATCTCTGGGACAATATCATCTCATCCGGACAGGCAGAAGACAACAAGGTTGTGGGCGCCGAGTGCGTTGGCCGTCTTGCCATCATCGACCCTACTTCGTACCTGCCACAACTGCAGACCTTCCTCCAGAACCCGAATCCCATCGTCCGCGGCATGGTCATCTCTGCATTGCGCTACGTCTTTTCTGATACCGAGGAGTCGTACAATGCCAACCTGCAGGCTACGATTGTGCCGATGCTGGCGACTATGCTCAAGGATTCGGATCTCGATAACCAGCGCCTTGCTCTCTCCACTTTCAACGGAGCGCTGCACAACAAGGCGGAGCTTGTTCTTCCTCATCTGAACGAACTGCTACCAGACGCTTTCCGCGCATCTGTCATCAAGCCTGAACTTATCCGTGAGGTCACGATGGGTCCATTCAAGCACAAGATTGATGACGGTCTTGAGATGCGCAAGTCTGCGTACGAAACCCTCTATGCTCTCCTGGACACCCCTGCCGCCCGCCAGAAGATTGACATGACAGCTTTCTACGATCGCATTGTCGATGGCATTGCCGACGAACATGAGATCAAGATCCTCTGCTGCCTGGTTCTGGGAAAGCTCATCGCCCTCGCTCCAATCGAATCTGCTCGCAACCTGGAGGTTCTCGCCATCAAGTTCCGCGCGGTCCTGTCCTTCAAACCAAAAGACAACGCCGTCAAGCAAGAACTCGAGAAGATTGCCGAAGAGCAGAAAGCTATCGTCAAAGTTTCCGTCCTTTTCAACAAGACCTACGGCACCGACGCCATCTCTGACGGCAGCCGCACCTGGAAGGACTACTGGGACTTTGTCCGTAAGGACTTCATCGGCCAAGTCAAGGCTGCTGAAGACGAGCTTCGTAGCCAGCAGGGTTAGTCGTTCTGCCGAGGAAGCCTATACGCGAGGTTGAAGATGGTCCGACAAAATCTTACGGACCAAATGGCCACGCTGAGCCTTGCCAACTAGGTGTAGTTGAGGAGAACGTCGCCAACTGCTTTCTTGGATTGTGACCGGCCCCGTGGCTCTCTGCATGAGGCGGATGTTGTGATGGAGCGGGCATTGCATTTGCTTTGTTTTTCACTGCATGGCTGAGATATCCCCCACCAAAAGAGAACGAATGGAATGAAAGTTTTATGAGTTGAGTATCTTTTCCTTATGTGTTTGACCCTCCCATACTGTCCGTGGTCGCCCTAGTCCTGAATGCTGCCCCATCGTTTTCATCATGACCTGGTATGTTGCACAGCCTTTCAGTTCCTTGCAAAGACCCAAAGACTCTCGTGGCCTGGCCGACAATCACCTATGGCATGTGTTTAACTGTCATAGACTGCCTACTCACACGGTCACGACATCCCGGCTCAACATGTGGAAAGCTTGCAAAGAGCACCCTATCTTCGTGGCATTCAGATGTTACTGCAAATGGCTAGTACCTTCTATTCACATGCAGCATGGCCTTTATCTATCTTCTACAGATTCTCTGCGGCTCTTCTCTGCCACCATACATCGACAAACACCCTGACTTCGATACTCATCCTCTTAACATACACTCTACAGCGACAGACCTTGAACGGATTGCCGACGGACGACACAATCGTGGATAGACTTGGATCTACTGGACTTTGACTGGCTGATATCATTGTCGGTGGACTGATACATCTAAACCACAAGAGCACAAGCTAGTGGTCAGGATATACGACCAGCTTGTAATCATTGCAAGAAAAGGGGCTGGATATTCTAAGGGCATAGCTTGGTTGCATACACACATCTGGTCTGATCATCAGCTGGCTTCGATCTGGAAACCATGCGGTCTCTTTGGGCAACGCTTCTACTGACCTTGGCTACGGTCAACCTCTCCGAGGCGATCCTCTTACCTGAGAATGTGATTCCTTCGGTTGCCACCACTCGAGGCAAGCGGCAGGCAACTTCTCAATGTTCCCAGACTGTGATCCCAATCACGATGACCTGCTCGACTCCAAGTCCAGCCAAGCGGCAAAAAGCGACCATCGCAGGAACTCCTGCGCCAGCTGGCGTCGTGGTCAGAGATGCTCCAACCCCAACCTGCTCCCAAGTCTACATTACATCTGAGAAGTGCTCGGACGCCTCTGGACCAGACTACGCCGGTACGACGATGACAGTGCCTCCAAGCAACACCATTCCCGGCCTCCCCGGCGGAACAACCGGCACCGTGGAGACAGCAGCACTCATCGCCGGCGTCTGCCCAGCCAATACCAAATCCCCCTGGGAAGTACAAATGACCCCAGAACTGCGCGACCGCATCCTGGACATCGCCAACGAAGTCTGCAGCAAGAACGGCAACCCCGTGCACGCTCGACCCCGACAGGGCTCCGAGTATCTCAACCACCCGCAATGCAACTTCCACGCCATGGGCAGCCAGCCCCAGCAGGACTTCATCGCCTCCGTCAAGTCGGATATCCAGCCCAAGGTCTACTACCCCTTCAGCTCCCCCGCCGACCTCGACTGCCTCCCCGAAGGCTGGGCCGACTATCCACACCACGAACAGCTCGTCGCGGACGTCGTGGCAGCGTTTATCGGGTACGCTTTCGATCTGGGCTGGAATCTTTGGGAGACGTTCAATGTGCCGGCGGAGTTTGGGGCTTCGGCTATGTCTGCGCCAGAGAGCAGCACGCAGTCCGGCTCGTCCTCGAGTGGTTCTACGCTGCATGATACCGCGGGCGATCCGCCTACTAAGTCGACGAGTTCGAGCTCCTCGACGACGCAGAAGCCGGATCCGGGGCCTAAGCAGTCGAAGACGACGAAGAGTACTAGCTCGACGTCGAGCGCGGATGCTTGTCCGACGGGAATTGAGATTGATCCGGATGAGGATCAGGGGCAGGTGAGATCTCTGTAGCCAGCACTCTGTGTTTGGGAACACTCTTACTGACGATTACAGGATGGACCGACACCGACGGACCAAATCCCAATCGTCCCCATCGCCACGGTCACAGGCAAGCTTGACCTCCCATGCCAAGCCCATCTGGATCCGCACAACGATGACTGCAACGTCTGCACCTGCTCCGGCAAAGACACCAGCCTGACCGTTCCCATGTACCACCAAACCTACATGACCCCCGTTAAAGGCAGCATGATCACGACGTCCGATGCCTGCTTCTACACAAGCTGGCCCGACACAAAATCCATCAGCACAACCACCTGCTTGGATGGTAACCAAATCGCCCAGAGCAAGAGTATCCAATCCGCCATGGCGGAGATTAGCAAGCACATCTACCCGTCCGACTACACGCCCGGAGCGCCCATCCCAACCTGTTCGCCAGACCCAAACCACAAGATGCCCATATGCGACCTCAAGAACGGCGGAAAAGACAACCTCCCCCCGAAATACTGCCTCTGTCCCGGCCCAACCCCCTCCATCTCCACCCCTTACTCCACCACCTACACGAGCCTCGTAAGCTGCGACACCCAACTCGGCACCGTCACCCACCTCGACGTCTGCCCCTGGACAACCACACCCCCCGACTCGATGAAAATCGACACCACCCAACACGGCTCCCCCTACCCCGCGGGCACCCTCCCCATCGTCCAAACCACCACCCCCTCCTGCGTCCCGCGCACCGCGGGCGCCGACCAGCCCGCCTTCCTCGGGTCCTATATCATGGACACGGCGCGCCGCTTCTGCCGCGAAGCCGTCGACGAGAAATGGACCGTCGGACCCGGTGGCGCAAAATACAAATTCCAAACGTACGACGACGCGGACCGCGCGAGGAATTCGCTCGGCGATCCGCGGCCGCAGAGGTTGACGCTGTTCGTGCAGTGGGATGAGCGGGCTTGTCCGGCGGATTTTGATGATGATCATTATGAGTTTCGGGATTTTGATGGGTGTGTGAAGGAGATGTCGGATGCGGCGTTGAAGTGTGAGTTTTTGCGTTTCCCCCTTTTCTTCCTTGTGGTTTTCTTCCGTTCGGAGTTGGCTGACTTGTCGTGTCTTTTCTAGGCGATCGGAGACAGATGCTGTTGAAGCCGGGGGATTTGGGAAGTGTGGTGATGTATTGGTTTGGAGGTGGGTATTATGGGAGTTGTTTGTGGTGGGAGGTTTTGGCGAGTGATAAGTTTCGGCCGTAGATGTTGAGGTTGGGATTAGGGGATGGCTGTTTAAGGGTTGGCTCTGGTCTTGATGAATAGACAGTTTGTTGATTGAATGGATTAGACGTGCGAAGATAGGTTTAGGGGTCTTCTCTCGAATGGAAGTAGTTTGATTTCTCAGCTCGTATCTCTGCCATTCACGCCTCGCTCTCAATGGTATCACGCATCCCCTCCCTTCTTCGAACTCCCCAACCCACTCCGTCTCTACAACAACACCACTCCCCACCACTTCCCACCCACCTCCCTCAACCCCGCTACACCTCAACACCACCCCCCACTCAACTCCACGTCAAAATCGGCTTAATCGTCGTCCCATCATGCATCTCATGCAAAGCCTTCTCAAACTCCTCCGCCGGCATCAACTTCATCAACCGATCAATCGGGAACCGTCCCTCACGATACCACCGAATCATCTTAGGAACATACTCCGGCGGATGCGCCCCTCCCTCAATCGCGCCGATCCACTGCTTGCCCGCGACCATGAACTCAAAGCCACTCACACTGTTGAGCGTGTAATCGAAAGGCGGCGAGCCGACCTGGATGTACTTCCCGCGATTCCGGGTGAACTTCATCCCGGCGTCCATGAGCACCGGCGCGCCCGTCGTGTCGATGGTGATGGTGGGGCCGACGCCGTCGGCGAGCTCCTTGACGACGTCCCCGAGGGTCTTGCCTTCGTCGAGTTTGCTGCCGTCGATGACGTGCGTTGCGCCGAGTTCTTTCGCGAGGGCCAGGCGGGAGGGCACTTTGTCGATGCCGATTATCATGCGGCAGTTTTGGATTTTGGCGCCCATTATTGCGGAGAGGCCCACGCCGCCGAGGCCCATGATGCAGATTGCGTCCTTTGGGCCCGCGCCGGAGACGTTGATTACGGTGCCGGAGCCGGTCTGGGAAGGTTAGTGCTCAGGGGAGGGTTCGTGGTTTCTGGCTTTGGACAGCATACCTGAATCCCACAGCCCAACGGGGCGAACAACTGCAAATCTTTCTTGTTGTCTACGATTCCCTTGGCATTCACCACCGAGCACTGCTTGACAATACTGAAGTTGGCAAAAGACGATTGCCCGAAGAACAACCCTCCGACTTCTGGTTCTCCAGACTTCGAGGCTAGGTGGAAGGCGGGCCAAGAGCCAAAGTTGAGCTCGTTGAAGGCATTGCAGTTGGAGTAGTGGCCTGCCTTGCAGATCTCGCAGTTCTCGCAGAAGGCGAAGGAGCAGAGGACTGGGTCGCCGGCTTGGGCCACCGTGACGTTGGGGCCGACTTCTTTGACGTAGCCGGAGCCTGGGACACCATCTGTTAGTTCTACTCAAGCTTCTTCAACGTTGAGTTATTCAGTGTACCTTCATGGCCTAATATTCTCGGGTAGAAAGCTATTGGAGCTGCTCCACCAGGCAGACCACCGATCAAAGCATCCGTATGGCACACTCCAGTGGCAACCATCTCGACCAACAGCTCACCCTCAGCCAAAGGCCTCAAGCTCACCTCCTCCATCTTCCACCCGCCATTCTGCAACGTATCATGGGCGACAATGGCCTTGGTAGAAGTCATATTGTGTCTTCTGTGAGCTTCCGCTCTCCCGTACGTCTCCTGATCTTTCCAAAGCTGCTGGAGTGAAGGAGGGATGTTATTCGAAGCTCGACCGCTCATTCAGCAAGAGGACACGGAAAAGGACCGAAATTGTAGAAAGCGACCGAGATGCGAATGGGCAGGGAATTAGGTTATATAGCCGGTCCCAGTGCCTGGACGCTGCAGGGGGCACCTGTGCTCTGACATAACCTAGGTGCATTCGCGTGTTCAAGCTCCTTTGCCTGTAGCACCTACCGAGTCGAAGCTGAGACCAATCACAAAGTACTGATAATGTCTTCCTTTGCGCCTAGCAGACGCGGCTGGAGATGGCGGTAGGTCTTTGTGGACCTGGAGGCGGCCCTTCGAGATACTGCGGGGTGATGTGAAGGTGGGGTTGCTTGGAGAAGATCTGCTTTTTGGCTTTGGCACGGCCGGAGCTATGATCAGTCGTGGCAGTCTGGATGGGGCCGGGAATGCGTCGCGGCTATGGGAAAAGCGTCGGGTCGGATACTTCATCGTCGGATCGAGAGGCTTAGACGATCGTGTCGGGCTGACTGTTCGTACAGGAAAGTGTTGGTGGAGAGTGGAAGAGGCCCAGGAAGCACGATGACAGCGCCAAGAGATGCTGGTATCAGCTGCATTGGCAGAGGGAAAGGCGACAACGGATTTGGCTGAAACACTAGGTGCGCCGTGCGGTCAGAATAAGGCCTTCGTATGCGACGTTGTATTCCACGCACGTGGCGATTGACTATTTCGAGAACGCCTGTCATTTCGTGAGCCGCAAAGTCATTATGAACGCTTACCCATCATGCAGCATGCAGATTCGTCGTAATCCATGAATTATATCCACTCAGGGCTCGTTCAAGTTGCCCACTGTCTTCGTAACCCTCCCGACTGTCTCCTCCAACAAGGTCAATTCGGCGACGGCAGTTTCACTCTTCTCATCTGCCAACGTTCCTCCTGCCTCCATCTCCTTCAGAAATCTGGCTTTGGCGTCTTTGAGAGGCTGAAGGAAGCTACCGGCGACGTCGTTGTTGCTCCAGATATCTCGAATCTCCAGGTTCTCGTGGATATGCTTTGCCTGGAGAAGAAGGTACAAGAAGTTCAGGCTCGCAAGGTAGAACGACACGTTTGTCTGGAATGTCATCCAGGCTTCCTGAACGGGAGCCGTGACAAGGTCTGCAAGCAGCGAAGGAAAGAGGTGAGGCGCGAGGCTCTCGAGGGCGAGGCTTTTTGCGAAGATGGATTTCTGGTCCTCATCTGCGGCTTTATCATGCGCATGACCAGGTATGGGTGTTGGTGGGTTGGCCTCGATCGTTTCGCCTTTGATCCAACCCACAGCTGAAACCTTGAGGTTCTCAAATGGGCAGTGCTCGAGCGTGTCCCGGATAAAACCCAGTCGAACTTCCTCGTCTGGTTGTGAGCGAAGGACAGTGCTCGTCAGGTAGTGAGCATGTCCTCTGAGGTTCGCATTCGGGCAGTTCGCCGAGAGCAGGGCGATGACTTGAAGGTATTCGGTGAACTGCTCATCCGTCCCTGGATTGCCAATTGCGTTTCGCTCAAGGCAGACCAGACCCAAGGCGAGCGCCGAGTCGATCAGGGCTTCTGGTTCGGTGCCTAGCAATCCAGTTCCCATTTCGGCTCCTGCGAGGCAGTGCTTGAGCAGCTCTTGGTGATCTGGGAAGATCTCGAATGGACGATCAGATCCCTCAGGTCTATTATAGAGGACTGCGGAAGCTTGTCGTGCCGTGTACAAGAGCGTGGATCCGAGTCGTGAAAGTGGCACGTCTGCAGCGGAAGAAGGAGGCTCGTCTTCATCACCGTCGTGGTCCGCCGCCTTCTCGTCTGTAGCCGCAGCATCAAGCAGTTCCTGGTCCGTGATTCCAAGGTCTTGTGCAAGTGTCACCATTTGGCCAATGGTGTCTATACGCCTGTGTAATCTCTCCTCACTCGCAAAGCGATCCTTGAAGGTAGGCTGCTCAGGCACTGTCCGCTCTGGATGTACCTTCTCCATAATTCGACTGCACCAGGCCATACCAGGCACGTCGTCATATGGAGGGAAGTTGAGCATGTACTCCTCAATGATATGCGTTACAAAAGCTTGAAGGAGCTTCGTTTGCATGTCGCTTTCCTCAACGCTGGACTCGACAGTCTCACCTTCCGGATCTGCCGCTGGCTCACTGCTGTACAACTCATTGGATTTGAGCATGCCGCTGCTTTTCCGCGATGGAAGAGTCGGTCTCAGAATGCCAGTGACCGACTTGATCGTCTTCACAATCGCCTCCGCCATCTCCTCGCGATATGCTGGTGCATTCGAGAAACTTGCCAAGATTGCTTGCAAGGTTGTGCTGAGAAACCGGCTGGGATACTTCGTCTTGATGCGAGGTTGCAGAATTGACAGCATGGTCAGGAGTGCCACAAATTGATTGACTGGCAATGGTAAAGGCGGCGGAAGTTCCACGGCTTGAGAACTGCCTGCTCGAGCTCTGCCATTACTGATCTCCGCCGTCTTGAGCGGATATGTTGACGTCTCCGCTCGAGACTTGACATCGCTGGCACTGGGCGGCTCAGCGTCCTCGTCCAAACTCTCGTAGTCGATCAGTCGCAAGCTCTCAGTCACCTTCAGAATGACTTCGCGGGGATTGCCCAACCGTGCAATATCGCGCAGACATGGTTCTGACTCTGGAAGGTACGGTACCAGCAAATGTACCAGATCCCATCCGATATTTGTCGTCAACTTCTCGTCCTGGAGGACTTTGTGCAATATCGGCAGGTTCTCCGGTGTGAGATTGTACTCGATGATGGTCAGATAAGTCAGGTAGTCAGATGCCGGCGGCAATGCTTTGATGAGTGGGCTCTCTCCTTCCGTGGGCATATTCGACGAGGTGCACTTTCGCTCGCTGTGGTGTGACGTATCCCTGGTTTGGGAGTCGGTTGTCAAAGATCAGTCTGTGTGGACCGTGGGTGTCTTTATGGACGACGATTCTGGCGGATTATGCTCCGGCATGTATCGTCATAAGTTCTGGCAGAGAGGGTTGAATTGCAGGCAGGAGAGTGGACAAGTTACGGGCAGTGTTTGCAGGTGACGTTGTGTGGCAGCCCTGTCGTGAAGCTGCAAGGATCCTGTCCATGGAGGAGTGGAGGAGGCGGCGAAATTTCATGCCTCAGGCGCAAATATCTCTTGGCATGCCCTTCTCTCAAGACATCGACCCGTTTGTTTGGAAAGTATGATTGTTTAGAAATGTACACATAACTTTGAGTGGCCCCAAACTACTGGCAACGCTTTTGTGTTCTAGATATACATATTTACACAACAGCGCTCCCCACCCCAATGCCTCCGCGCAACCAAGGAAACGTTCATGGAGAATGGTTCGCTCATTTCAATGCACCCGCAGTGTCGACAGTACCCTTGTGCTTGGCTGTCTCTGGTCCTCCTGAGCCCTTGGTGGACTTCTCGCTTCCTGGTGCGTCGATCTGTACGGAATGCCGAGTGTCGGTGTTGGACAGACCCTTCTGCTTTTGGGAGATGTCCCCAGCCCGGTCACCCGTGGGCTTACTTTGTGCTTGCTATTGAAGCGTCAGTAAAGTCATTTGCCGGCGCTCCAAGGTATGTAGACTCACAGCTTCCCGGTCTCCCTCGTACGCAGGTCCCTCTCCGAGGTTCTTGCCGAGGCCAGAGTCCAGGCGCTTCTTTTGTCCGCCCTTGGGGCTGTCCTCCAACTTACGGGTGTGTTCTTGACCAGCGCTGTCGTCTGCCATCTTGCCCTTGAATTGAACACCCTCTACGCCGCTCTTGCCCCCGGCCTTCTCCTCCGCGGAATCCTTGGAGGCATCCTCATCTTTGCCACTGTCGTCGCCATCAGAGGTCTCCTTGGCCTCATCGCCATCGCCGGACTTCTCCTCCTCGGCAGGCTTCTCCTCTTCATCGCCCTTCTCTTCCCCGCCCTGCTGTTCGGCTGGAGCAGCTTCCTCTTGTGGCTCCTCATCCTCCTTAGACTGCTCGCTCTCATCTGGCTTTTCGCTCTCCTCATGCTCGCCGTGCTCGGCGTGGTCGCCATGGTGCTCAGCGTGCGAGGTGTCTGGCCAGAGGTACCAGCAGGAGGGAGGAGTGACGACTAGGGCGCCGAGGATCCTGTGTGTTGCTGTCAATCGCCAATGCCAGCCCGCTCTCTTCAGAACGCATTCTTACCATGGCAGATCCGAGCTGGGTTCGCCATGAGCTCCTCCGTGGCCGCCGCTGCTGGCATAGCGTCTCGCAACGAGCTGTGTCCCGGCTGGGGCTGCTCGTGCCGTTGCTCGTGCGCCGCTGTATCGGAGGGATGACTGGAGGCTCCGCAGAGCATTTGCGCGTATCAGAGGCATGTCGGCGGCGGTCAATGGCTTAACAGGAGGAAGACGGGTGATCGTGAAGAAGTTCGTCGAAGCTGCAGCTCGCAGCTCCTTCGCTGGATGGCTGGCATCAGCGCTCGCTAGCGGCGGCGGAATGGTCCGTGTCGGGCGGCCAGCCCAGAGACCTCACGTCATGATCATGAAATCTGCCGTCAACATTCACTCGATCGATTCGCTAAAAGTCATCGGCAATCGACACAAAATCACGGGACAGCGTAATAGAGTCGTTTTACTCAATTTCGAGACTGTACTTGAGCTATAAGATCCTCTCTCACACACCTGGCCAAGACATCCACTGGGCACATCACCGTTGACAATATACATCCTCCAGATTGAACCTTCAACACCAAATGCAACAAATACGCCTCAAAATCAACCCCAGTGGTGGGCATCCCAGTCATCTTTCGATACGCCCATGGTCTTAGCCCACTGCTCCTTGGCTTCCGCACGGAGAGCATCTCGAGCAGTTTGAGCTCTCTGGATACGACTCTTTCCCGCTCCTGGAGCAACCGCACTCCACGAGTCATCGTAGTCAACCCATGGACAACCATCCCAAGCACTAGTAGCCGTCGACGGCGTCAAGCTCTGGTCTTTCGAGCCTTCATCTACCACTTCGTCTGCGACACCATCGAGCCACTTCTGAACTTGAGGATACTTTCCCGGGCCTGCGAAATTGGCCAGAGTTGCACGCGCTCTCTGTTCGCCCTCTGCGTCTTGTGCGAAAGAAGAGGACTGAGCATCGTAGAGAACATCTACGCCCAGTTCGTTGCAGCGATGGCGAGCCCGTCGGAACCGCTCCTCTGCGAGAACTTGGTTTTGATTGAGCTGCTTGAAGGACTCGAAAGGGTGCTTTGGCTCAGCATGCATGCCGAGATATGAAGGCTGCTGTGTTACTTCATGGCGCTTCTCGAAGTCGTTTTGGGCCTTATTGAGATCTTCGGCTGCAGCATAGAAGTCTCGTCGAGCGATTTCTGCTGGTGAAGGCTCCTCATCTGGAAATTCGTCCTCGCTGTTCCAGCCAGAATTGCTTCTGCCTGCGTAGTGATCTGTTCCCAACCGAGACGGCGTCGACTCTTGCGGAGACGTCTTCGTCGCTCGTTGTTGGGCCCCGTCAGGTCTGGTCGAGGTGGGAGTGCGTCGACGAGTTGCACTGCTGGAGCGCTGTCGCGGACGAGATCTGCTTCGATAGTGCTGCCGCTCTGGTGATTGCGCACGCGAGCGATTTCGCCGAGGAGATGTGCTACGCGAGCGTTGCCGCCCTGTTGTCCGCCCACGTGAACCATGCACCGGAGAAGATACGCGGCTCGAACGCCCTGGCGGTGGAGAAAGCGTGCGCAGTGTATTACCTCCGGGCTCGATGGCGTCTTCGCCTGACTTCTCAGGCTGTATGTCCAAATGGGGTATCTTCCATCTGTCCAGGAAAGCGTCATCTGGGGCCAAGGTATCGAAGCGCTCGTTCTGGGAATCTACCAAACCGGCACCTTCGAAGACGTCCTGCAAGAGGCCTAAGAGGTTGAGGTTGGCACTGGAAGCTTCCTCATCGGCTGCACGGGCTGGCTCGTCTATCGCCAACTTTTGCTGCTCAACCAGCTCCAAGTCCTCATCGAGCTTTGCGAGTCGCTGCCTGTCGCTTGAAGCATGATCGCTGGTGCGCGAACCCGCCAAGAGTTCGTTGCGCTCGTTCTCCGCCCACATCTGGAATTCCATAATCACATCCTTCTTTTGGTTGGCAAGATCTGTTTGGTAGATTGCTTCCAGGCCCGCACGTGTGGCTGTTGTGACAGCGTGTACAAGCTCCTGGGTCATGACGATGGCTGAGGCAAGACCATCGTTTTCCTGCACAGCAATCATACGTGAGACATTTGGAGCTGCCGAGGCTTTCTGTCCATCACTGACCACGTATAGTGGTAAAGACTTGACAGTTACTTCCAACGCTCGTGCATCAGACTCCATGATGTCCTTCAGGGCGTCTTTTGACGTGGTCGTGGTGTTGTTCTTAGTGGTGTGGCTTTCAAAGTTGGCCTGGCTTCCTGAGCTAGGCTGACGCTGCGTAGTCCGATTCTGATGTCTTGCTTGCGGAGTAAGTGAGTTTCTTTGACAAGTTTTTCCTTGATGTGTTACATGTTTCATTTCCTAAGTTCTTTGTTGGGGTGTTGTCTACAAAATGAGCTACAGGGCATTGTTCTTTCACGCTCCGCGCCCTGACCGTCACTATAGCCCCGAAAATTGATATAACACAACCACACAAAGCGTTTCGTTGTAATTTTAGCTGCCATTGTGTTATCGCTGAAAGACGTTGGTGTTCACCTGGAGGACGCCATTCACTTTGTGACCTGGTGCTATACTTGCGGTCAGTCACAAAGAGCACCTTCACGCGTTATAACGCTTCAACAACACATACGCTGCCATGATCAAGAAACGCTCTATCACCTGGTACACATCGCCTCCTCTTCACCAAAGCCGATGTCGAGATCAGGGCAGAATAACACTGGCGCGCCGCCGCAATCAGGGCGCGACAGATTCCACGCGCATCGTGGCAACTCCCAACTTCAAACAGACAATACACGACCTAACCAACCGACCTTCTCGACAACCCCAATTGCTGGGAACAAGCGATCAGTCGAAGATGTGCAAGACAGTAGTGAAAACGAGAGAGAGACGAAGCGACCTTACGACCCACACTCTTCGCCAGATGGACCCCCTCGAAGGCAGATCGCATCGTCTATTGTCGTTCCGTCGGAAGCTATGCTGTCGGTAGCAGCACAGTCAAGAGGCGTCTTTTCGGGAGGCGGGACAGCTCGCGGGCAATCGATCGCAATGTCAACCGCCAGCCGGCCAACACGTCTAGCAGAAGTGGCAGCAAAAAACAACTCCCTAGCAGTCGGCAACGCTGTCCTAAGCGGGCTCGCTGTGTCGATTGCAACAAACGCCCACCAAAACCAACTGTTGGCTCAGCTATTGCCATCTCTGAGGGCGAACGGCGTCAACGCAACTGGACTCGATCCTCGAGCCACTCCGAACAGCTACATGGGGTTCTTTCCCGGCTTGATAATCAACTGCATGCTTTCCGTGACCGCTCAGGATCCGCGCGCAGACCCGCAACGGGACGGTCGATTCTTGCAAGGTCCGAATTGTGTGGTTTCCTCCAAGCGACGCCCAGGCATCGTTGCCAACACCTTCGCAAACGGGTCTGTTTCCGTGGTGCCCTGTTCTACGCACGGCCACAACGATCTCGAGAACATCAACCCTTGGGAGCTTGAGAGGTACTAAATGGTGTTGCAAGACTATCACGACTACGAGCGCGTGAACCCGACTGGCAACGGACGCTTGGATGTGAGAATGTACAACCGTGGTCTCATTGGCAGGAAGTCGAGCATTTGCTTGACCGAACAGTTCACGATCAAGGCGAATGAGAACGTGAGCTTTGTCGGCCGGCTCACTGAGCGCAGCACCGGACTCTTCCTCGATGCGCTGAGCCAAGTGAATGACCAGGCGTTGAAAGAGTGTGGTGACAGGAGGAGGGAAGAGGAGAGACGGAAGGCTGAAGCTGAGGCTGAGGCAGCGCGATCGAGAGGCAGATACCGACGAGGAAGCCGAGAGGACTATTAGGAGAGGTAGTCTTGTCTCCCCAAAACAAAGAATCTCAAACAAACCGTTCCTTATTCTACCTCCTTAGTCTCACCCATCCTTTCAGAAACCAACCCCCCAACAAAGCCCCCCAAACAACCCCTTCATCCCAATCCCCCAGCACAAATACCTCCAACCTCCCCAACCCCTTTCCAAACAAGCCAAGAACCCCCAAAAGCCCACGCACCATGAACGATGCAATGATATCCCTCCGCTTCCGCCTCCACCGCTGGGCGCGGAAATGCAAGATCACCAAAGATGAACCCAACACGATTTACTTTGAAAGCACTCCTCGTCGGAGCGACGCGTCGGAACGGTGCAAGAAGGATACGGACAGGTTTGTGGATAGTATGAAGAGGAGGAGGCACTATGAGAGGTTGGGTTGAGAGGTGCGTGGATTCAGTAGATGAGAGATGTTTGTAAGTTTTTGTTTTCGAGGAGTGATTGAGGATTCCTGCGATATGTTTTCTAGTATGTCGAAATCAAAATCCCCTAATTCAATACCTCATCATGCATTTCTTCTATACCTTCATGTACTGTGACCCAGGACATTTAAATCGTGACTGTGCCCGAACCGTGTCGCTTCGCCATGATTCGAGACGGATTTGTCGGCAGAAATGCGACTGGATCGATGCTTTCCTTCGCCGTGCTGCCCTCTCCATCCTTTCACAGATCATGCTACAAGCACTCTTCCTGACCACATAGTCGCCAGTGCAAGGAAATGGAAGCATTGACGAGTATTGAGCATTGCCATTGCACGTACAGACAGGGTATCAAGAACGCCAATCACAAACAAATCGCACATCTCCTGCGAGGTTCCTCTCCCTCCATCGAATTCCCCAACCCAAGAACAATCAAGAGCTCGTCCCCGCCAACACCGCCATATTCGTATCCCGATCCACCTTCCCAATAGCCAACGCGATCGCCGCCGCCACATACTGAAACGTCTCGCCCAGCTCACCCGACGCACCCGCGCCCACGCACTCGAAATCACCCGAAAGCCGCGACGAGCAATAGCTGAAATGCCACTTGGCGACGACATCCTCCTCGCCAGCGGCAGACCGGCGAGTCAACTTCCAGCTGCCGCGCGAGTTCGCCCACTCGAAATGCTCGACGCCCCCGTGTGGCATGATCATGTCCCATTGAACTGTGGGGTGGGTTGTGAAGCGCCAGCGTACGCTGGCCTTCAAGTTGATGTTGTGCGAAGGCATTCGTACGTCGAAGTCTCCGAGGTATCTCCTCGCGGTGATGAGTGGCTCTGAGGCTTGGTCATTGGTGGTGTGGATTGTGACGCCCGAGTGGCCACAATGGGTCGAGACCGCGTGATGCGGAGTGCCCGAGGAGGTAGTGATGTAGAGCGTGGATTTGAAGAGGGATTTTTTCGTTTTGGTGAGAGCCCATTCTGAGGGAAGCGATTGAGAAGTTGATGATGAAGAGGCCACGGAGTAGATCTCGGGGCCGAGGTCTTTCGCGGAGGTGTATGAGATGGACGATTTCTCGTCGTAGAGCATGGTGGATTTGTCGTCGAAGAGCATGGTGGGATTGTTGTTAAGGTTGGTGATGTTGAAGTTCGGTAGGATTTATCGGTGTTGTCGTTACTTGCGTGGAATATGCTTTTGTATGAGTGCAGGAACGAATCCTCTGCATTTTCATTTAAATAAGAAAGTGTTTAGAGGTATCAAGAGAGCAACCGGCTATGTCAGTGGCTGTGCCTGAGGACAAAGATGGCTATGATCTCATTGTGGTTGGCTGTAGCGAGAGCTGAAGACAGTACGAATACGAAAACACATCACTCGGCTACATTTGCTCAGCTGCGCCTCTCAATCAAAGCTAGTCGTGACAGCGATCCTCTAAGCCTTCGCTTGCACGCAGTTATTACTTGCGACCTGTTTTTTTTCCCTTTTTCGCGGATCTCGCTTGGGTTTCGGGACTCACGGACGAAAATGCTATCACGTTTCTAGCCAGTGGATGTGTATTGCTACCTCCTCTTCAGACACTCGACGAGGATTGCCGACGATAGTTTCCATTGTTATAACACTGTTCTTCGAAGGTGCGCCCAAGACGGAGGTAAATGTATTGTAGACGAATACGCCACTGACGATCCAAGGTACCTGACTCCGTTACGCGCTGTGAAAATAGACATTAGTCGAGTTCTCTGCAGGACTTTTTTTGTAACTACAGCAAGCCTTCGAAGGCCGGTATCGCTGGGGGCGTGAAAGATAACAAGGGGGATTGCCTCCAGTAAGCCAGACTGACTGAGGATTAGAGATGCGTCGACACGGCAGCCTCCTTGTCAACCAGCCAAGAACGCATGTAGGAAAGGTCTTGCTGTAACACCTGTCGCTCTGAAGAACTTACATGGCGCCATCGGCGGCGCTAGTTGATGCCAAGCGGCGAGAATGCTTTCCACTGCAATTTTCTCGACAGGGTCGGATGGCTCGGGCAGTGCAAGTGAGGTGCACAATGTAAAGGTATAGATGCCTGTCTAGTAGTTGCGGGAGAAAAGGAGCCAATTCGAGACGACGATCATCGCGGTTCTCGGCAAGCTTTCGGGCCGCGCCGTGAGTGAAAACTGACGGCATCATGTACTACACCAATCTCCTTGCACACGATAGCAAGCAATTTTTCATGCACTTCTCGCCACAATCCAGCATGTGGAGCCAGAAGTACCTCGAAACTAGGACGCATGATACTAAGGAGCAAAACAAGAACCTGTCATGACACATACTACCGGTCAATCGGATATGGGATGCTGTGTCTTGTATACACCGTTCGCATGACTCCGGTGGTGGAGCGGCAAGGTGGTGTGTATGTACTAACTAATAACTCGAACTGTAGCAAGCTATCGTTTGTGTCGGCGTTTGAGCATTGTCAGCCCCTGCAAACAATGCCTTCCACGTGCTGTACTGTAGCACACGTCGTACAAGGTGATTCAGAATGTTGTACCGCACCTGGCCCCTTGCAGCGAGCGGCATGCCATGTAAGTCGTGACTGATTGTTGCTGCACCGCTGACGAAAAGCAATCATTCAACACAACTCTGCCATTCCGCCTGAGATGGATCTCACCCACAGATTGCCGCGCGTTTACAACCGACTGGCCTCTTGCGCTGGACTTTCACCTCTTCGCTTCACCCTCTACTGGTCGCTGATCCTGTTTGTCCTCGTCGCCACGCTTCTCGTGCGCAACACCTCGTCAAGGGACCCAGGCTCATGGTTCTTCAACCCCAACATTGCCTACAGTCGGCAGTACAGCGCTGTTCGTCAGCGACAGGCACTGCGACTTATCGAGACTGCGGCCGACGTCAAGCCTCCCGCCACAGAAACGGCGACTATCCCAGGACTTTGCATCGGCATTCCATCGATAGCGAGAGAAGGAGCTCGCTACCTCCGGATGACTGTTGGCTCTCTGTTGGCTGGGTTGACGGACAGGGAAAGAGAAGGGATCAAGCTGATTGTGTTCATACCACATACGGACCCAGCAATTCATCCAGCCTATCACGAAGCCTGGCTGCCACACTTGACAGATCAGCTTCTGCTATACAATCTGTCGCAGCATGAGCTTGACTATGTCAAATCCCTGGAACGCGAAGACGTCGAGCATCGTACGAAAGGCCTCTACGATTACACCTACTTGATGCAAGCCTGTTACGCAACTAAAACGCCCTATATCGCCATCATCGAAGACGATGTCGTTGCTATGGACGGCTGGTATCATCGCAGTGTCAATGGAATTCCGCAGGCAGAAGCACAAGCATCTTCCGAGCGCATGTCGAACGGCTTCCTCTACCTGCGAATGTTCTATACTGAACAGTTTCTGGGTTGGAATAGCGAGTACTGGATTGTCTACGCCTTCTGGTCCATCACAACCATCGGCACGATTTCTCTTCTCGTACACTGGAGCCGTTCTACTTTCAATGCCGTAAGACACGCCTTGACTCCTCGACTGTCGCTGCTCATCTGCTTGGTACTTGCGCCGTGGATGGTTGTACTTACGTTCGCCGCTGGAAGGGTCACCGTGTTCCCTTTACCGCATGGAATCAACAAGATGAATGACTTTGGCTGTTGTGCTCAAGGCTTAATTTTCCCGCGTCACAAGGCCCGCGATCTTATCGAGTGGTACAAGACTTCTCGGGTCGGATTCGCCGATATGTTGACCGAGCAATACGCCAACGAGCATGGAGAGCAGCGTTGGGCCTTGACTCCTAGCGTTCTGCAACACATCGGTGCCAAGAGCTCAAAGCCGGAAGATTTTGGTCACGGTGCGAAATACTCGAAGTCGGTCGCAGGAATGATCTGGAACTTTGCATTTGAACTCAATTCCCCCAAGGCGCTGAGGAAAGAGCACGAGCTGGCAGCGATCGAGCCATTGAATCTCTTATCTGGTACCACTGGTTCTGAGTAGCTCAGATCAGACCACAGCTATCTTCGAATCTTCACCTTTTTGGCGAATGATAGGCCGCCCTGATGGCTGACATCCCAATCTTGCTTGCGCTTCCCCTGCCTCTCGGCCTAGTGTTGCATAGCCTCGTCTTGCAGAATTTCTTCAGCCAACTTCCTGTTCTGCAACATTCTCAATTCCTTCTTCTTCCTCTGTCTCTTTGTGCTTCGTTCCATTCGTCGTCGTCTTCACTGCCCGCCTCTCCTCCAACAACTTTCTCACGGTCTCCGTTTTATTGCCCCAAGAGCGATCCAGCGCTTCCTTCTTCAGTTCATCGTACTTCTGGAGCAGCTTTAGGGTGCTTTCCAAGTCCAGGTTTGCGACCGAATTGACGTACTCGTTGTATTTGATTGTGTATGAGTCCGAGAGGCAGACACTTGAGTCGCGACTGATCTTGTAGTATCGGCCGGTGCTGCTATCTTTGAAGGTATTCCGAACTTTGAGCACATCGTGACTGGTCGGATTGTACTCAGGCAGATCTTGTTCTTCTGCTACAAGCATGTAGAACTTGAACTGCTTGTTTCGATCTCCGGTGATGCCTCTGCCTCCATGTGTGAACATTGGAAGGATGAGAATTGAACCGTCGTCGTAAACGACCAGTACAATTCCGTAGCGAAACTTTGAGGACACTTTGGCAGTTGTCGTTTGAACAAAGCTAGGAGCTACCAAGGGATTTCCTCTCCGATCTTGAGCAGTAGCATGGTGCGAAAATTGTATTATTAGCCCGGGATAGAACTTGTTGATCGCGCTGAGAGGTGTATTTAGGACAATACCAGTGCGATAGTAGCCAGCCGATTGCAATGTGCCGTATATTGTTGGTCGAGTACTATTCACAAACGACTGAAGAGGCTGGGTCGCCCTCGAGATGAAGTTTGTGCCATATCCGCTAGCGCTGGGTTGAAGCCGTGGTGCAGGATGTGCGCGCGGATTGGGAGCTTCGTTTCCTGACCTCTTTCTCTTGTTCCCTGCAGTGGTCAATGGTGATGGAGGGTCGATCGATGGCGTGGACAATGGGCGATGCGATGGGGAACGGCCAGCGTTCGGGAGCAAGTCGTTTTCTCCGCGATAAATATCTTCCCTCATCATTTCAAGACCTGCAGCAGCGTAATACCAGCTCCCCTTGAGTGGGATGCGGGTAGGAGGATGAGTATGCTCTTATAACGATGATGCGCATATTGAGGAGAAACTACAATACGTCTAACGTAGGACCACACAATAAAGATGCGCGTCAATGGGAGTCTTTCACTCATGAATAGAGACTATAGTAGTCAACGGTGAGGTTCCATGGCCGCAGTGAGGTGAAGATTATTGTGTGAGCTTGTTTCGAAGCTACAATAGCTGGGCTTATTGACGAGACAATAGGAAGGGTGCGCTTTGAGGGACAATGAGCCTCGTAATAGCGGCAAGCCGAGAAAAGAACCCAGACAGACAACAGAGATGTTACACACGAGGGTCTTTAAGACCTGTACAAAGACATCACCTCAACACACTTTCCCACTACATTCTCTCACAATTCCCCATGTTTTACTGCCATCCCAGGCGCCGGACCTTCAGTCAGCGATACAGACACCTGAGATATCCCGGAGAAAGCCATGGCTTCTCAGTACGAACAAAGCTCTGGTCCCGACTTGCACGCGGCCGTGGAGTCCTTGCCGTCGTACCAGCTCGTGGACAAAGACGGCCGGATTCAACCAGTGAGCGACTCACGAATAGTGGCAATCCACAACGAAGACAGCCGCCTAGCAGCGATGATAGTGAGCGAAGAATTGCTCAACAAAATCAAAACATCTCTGGACGACGGAATCAGAGCGATAGTACAGGAAGAAACAGCGAAAGCGAAGAATCCTGTGCTCAGGACATTCGAAGAATGGGTACAGAAGGAGCAAGAGGAGTTGTCGGCACAGATGAAGGTTGTCGAGGCTGTCCCAGGGTCATACAGCTTGTTGATGTCGTTGGATCTTCAATCGAGCATGCTCAACGACAAGCTGGACTTGGTTGCAGAGCGCAGAGCTGCACTCAAAGAAGAAATGAAAGAGGCCGAGAAGGTCGCCGAGCTGAGCCAGCTTGGCACCTACGCAAGACTGTACGACCTTTTCAAGGCGCACGGATTTACGGATCATGACGATTCGGAATCCCACTCACTGGACGATGGTTTCCTGCGCGAATGGGCGGTTCCGGAGCAGGGGGAGGTACATCATAACGCCAGGGTCCCGCAAGATGGTGTCCACTCTCAGGACGAACAAAGCAATGCCAATCAACGGATCGACTCAGGACGTGCCCCTTCTCGAGAAGAGCACACACGTGGACGCTCCCCCGACCGCCGCCGTTCGCGAAGCGCATCTCCTCGTCGACACCTCTCGCAAGACCGTCTCCGCCGTGATCGCCCCAATAGCAGATCTGGCCGTCGACATGGAGTCAAAGAATACGCTGCAACACCACCTCCTCGTCATCATGACAGGCGAAACTGAGATCCGTCATACGAGCCTCTCGATCCACTTCAGATGGCACAGCGTGACTTCAACGCCCGTGCCGGAGATGTTCAGGAGGCGCAATGCGACTTTGACTGGTACTGGGGAAGGATCAAACAAGCCAAGAACGAGAGCGCAAGCGAAGCTGGTCGGCGAGAATTCAAGGCGAATAATCGTCTCACTCGCAAGTTGACTGAAGCATGGGAGAGGTTCCGAGCTGCACGCCGCCATTGCCACGATCTAGGAGTCCGCGTACCAAACGACAGTCAGTCCTCATCTCTTGCAGCGGATTCTGAAGACGGCGAAGAGCAGTTCCATGTGTTCATGAAACCGTTCTGCGGACCAGAGAAACATCCATGGGTTGCTGAGTGGCTTGATGATGTGGAGGATGGGCGTGGTTCAACAGCAGTGCACACGAGGCGGGAGAGGATAGCAGCACCGAGACCCGAGATGGACGAGTGGGATGCTGGCTCAGATCTCTGCCCATGGGAAAGTCAGAGCGAGACAGCAGAGGGTCGAGAGAAGGATCGCATCAGGATTGCTGAGGCAGTGCGAGACAGCCTGCGAGACGATCCCATAGAACAACGCCAGAAGGTGATGACACGCAAGCGCAAGAGGGATGCAGACCAGAATGAAGAGGACGAAGTGGAAATTGCAAAGACGCAGAAGAAGCCCTGATCGTGACAATGCGAATGTTCTTCGAAAACGACAAGGATCGAAACGTAGCTTCTAGACTGTTACTCAGCGTTCTGTTTGAATGTATTCAGCAGAAGTTCATCTCAATACCAAAGCTCCTCCACTGTATGATTCACATAGGTCTCACATGAGATTTGAAGATTGTGCCCAGGTACACCCCGGAAGCGTGCTGCTGTCATATTCATGTAGCGTGCGCTAGTATTCTTGGCTTGTGTAAGACAAGGACGTCATGCTCATGTGACAGCTTGGCACGTGGCAATGCCCTCTATGCAGTGCACCCATGTCTTCCGGTATTTGAAGTAAGGCTGAACAGTGACTCGATCGATTTGAAGGCAGGCAGAAACATCTTGGACTCTACCTCAAAAGCCATCTTCAATCACCACCGATTCCATCCAAAATTTGAATCCAGACATCGTATCTGAGCGAGCATAGCTTCCAACTATGGTATTGGTATGTCATCCCTCGTCGCATCTCCTTCTCAATCAAGCCTAACACACCCACAGGGCGGCTGTTGTTTAGGCATCATCGCCATCTTCCTCCCGCCTCTTGTGGTCTTCATCCGACGCGGCTGCGGCGCCGACCTCCTCATCAACATCGGCCTCCTCTTCCTCGCCTGGATACCCGGCGTCCTCCACGCCTGGTACATCATCCTCGAGTATCCGAGCTTCCGGCAACGGCAGAAGATCAAAAGGGAGCGTGCGCAGAGCTATTCGAGCTCTAGAGGAGCGAGGAGTCCGGCGCGGAGGAGCCAGGAGGTGGGATACGAACGGCGGAGAAGCACATCGCGGAATCCTTATGGGGCGACCACAAGGCCGTACTATCGTGATGAGTACTATGACGGTGGCAGGCAGCCAGCAGCGTACTATCCACCGCCGCCGAGATACAAGTATTGAAGCTGGGAGAAAGCCATGGTCGCGAGGAGGGCACAGGGCTGACAGGCGCCGCCGGATTGTATTCCGCAGGCCTTCTGGGCCTGCATCTACATTGTGCTGTACGATGAAGAGATCGGACAAAATGTCAATGATGAAGATATGAATTTGACGACGGAACATCAAGTTTGTGTCAAGGTACACGGCTTGCCAAGTGATTCCTTCTTACTATGGACTAGTGCCAATTTTAGCTCACATGCTAGTCGACTTCACTTCCACAGTCGAAGTCGATTACAGTCAATACTCGGTTCTCTACCTCTGAATACCATTTTCAGGTGTGAAAGCTCACCCCTGGAGCAGTCGTAGATGCACAGCCAGCTGATCAGCCCATCGAGACAGCTGCTCGTGGGTGTGGAAGCGCCCATTCGCGGCTAAATCCACCCGTAACATGCCATCTTGCTCAGGCGTAGCAGATATTCGTAAGACGCCACCCTCAGGCATGTTACCATTGGCCCTTTGGTAATTTTTCAAAGTCCTCATCACGCCACCAATCTCTTCTTCGGCATCTCCAAGGTCCTGGAAATGCGTGACGCAGCCAAATGAACGAGTCGACTCCGGCCAATCGGTGCAATGCTTAACAATATCCTTGAAGCCCGATGTCTCATATGGCATCCCATCAATATTCTGGTCGTGCACGCTTTGGATGACTTTTGCGGTATCGTCGATCGAGCGGACTCGCACTGGAACGATATTCAGGCAAGGGCCGACGGCATCTCGAAGATGCACTGGTAACATGGCTCGACCAGAGACCACACGACCGAAAGTAACATCTGTAGATGCAGAAGCCTCAGCTAGGAATAGAGCGCAAGCGGATGTGAAGATGGTGGCTGCAGTATATCCGGAGGCTGACTGCGGCAAACTGACTCTCCTGGTCACCTCGACCAAGCCAGGTTCATCGATGCCGTGTTGCACAGTTTCAAGATTGGTAAGACTGGACCCTTGCAGATGGTTGCTCCAGTGACTTCGTGCCGCTTCTGCGTTGTCGATCGCATGGCGCATGAAGTGGGAAAACCTCGGCGTGGGCGGAACAGTCTGTTCGTCATGGATGACTTTGACAGCTTTCATCAAGTGCAACAAGCTGGTGCCGTCAAATTGAGCATGCGACAATCGAACAGCTAGTCGACACTCTCTTTGAGCCCTGGAAAAGACGAAGAATCTGCAGAAAGGGGTCCCCAAAGCACCAGGCTGAGATGAGTCTTCGTCCAGTACATGTGCCATGAGTTGCTCAACGGTGCTGGTAGATGTCGAGAGGTGCTTGATATCTGGGCGTATATCCGTTTGCAGAACCTGGACGTACTGGTCTCGCCATCGCACGAATATGGTCCGTAGAGCTTCAATCTGGTTCCACAGGCTTTCGCAAAGGACGTTGGCCTTTTCCAGGCTGTACCCATTTGGAAGATCCAAGTAGAAACAGTGCCGTTGCTGTGGCGGCATCTTCAGAGCGCCTTCTATGCAAGATGCTTGGAATTCTGCGACAGGGTAGGCGTCCACTATTGACGCTGGGTAAGTTTCTAGCGTGGCAGCAATCTCAGCTTGAGCAACTTCGGTGTCTTCCAGGAGCGAGAACGGTTCAACAATGCTTTGCATATCTTCAATGATTGGAGTAGAAACAGTCGCCATCTCAATCAATCGGGGAGCTTTGAAGACGTCAGCGACTGAGATCGACAGGCCATGGTGTCGTGCAGCTGTAACAAGTCTCATGGCAGCTATGCTGTCACCACCGGCCTGGACGAAGCTGTCTGTTCTTGCAATAGTCGATGCTTCCTTGTTGAGCACCGATGCCCAGAGCTTCTGCATCTGTCTTTCTGCAGGTGTCTTCACCTGCTCTGGCTCCTGTGTCTGACGATGAGGATTCATGGCATGAAGCTGCTCTACTGTCAAAGTACCCCCAACAGCCTTCAGACGCCGTCTGTCGACTTTGCCCGCAGGAGTTGTGGGTATGGTATCAACAGCAACGTACCCAGAGGGGATCATATGTTTCGGGAGACGATCAGCCAGCTTGTCGTCGAGTCCGATCAACAGGCCTCGCCTGATGAAATCAAGAGCGCTTCCCTCTCCGCCATTTGACCTTAAAAAGGCAACCAGCATGGGGGTGTTGCTGGCCAGTGGTGTGATGACTTCTGCTACAACCTGCATGCTAGCCTTGTTTGTGTGCAAGAGCTCTCTTTCGACATGATGCTCGATATCACCAAGCTCGACTCTTTGGCCACGAATCTTGACCTGTAACTTCAATTAGCAAATACTCAGAAAAAGACACCTTGCTCCAACCTACCTGAGCATCTTTCCTACCAACGTACACTACCGATCCGTTGGAGGCGTAACGCACGAGATCGCCTGTCCTGTAAAGACGACCCTCTGACTTTCTCTCTTCATTCAAAGGTAGCCATGGTGGATTTGCGAGACGCACAGCATCGCTCTTAGCCCGGTCATTCAGGTACCCCTTCATGACAATCGGACCGTCTGCGACCAGCTCACCGGCCGCCCCAATCGGTGCCAGCAGATTAGGATTCTCTCTCGAAACGATCCAGCATCTTGCCGCAGCACCTGATCCGATGCCACCGTCGTTCCAAGTCAAAGGATCTACTGGAGTTATCGAACAGACTGATGCCTCTGCTGGACCATACCAATTGAATACTGAGGTTTTGTCAGCCCATTTGGAGAAATGGCTCGAGGTAAGCTTCTCTCCAGCAAAGACCAACGTCTTGAGCGCTGGCACATCTTCTGACGAGAGCATGCCGGCCACTGAGGGAGCAAGACACGCCCAGTCGGCTCTCATGTTGTCGATCGATCCGACCAAGTTGTTCTCCCTGTCCTTCTCTGAAGGTATACAGACACAAGCACCGTATATCAGTGCCATAAAAGTCTCATGGATGCTGACATCGAACGAGTACGACGCGAATTGAAAGACCCGAGTGGAATCGTTGACTGCGCAATCTCGACCAAGGTAAAAAGCGGCGGTAGCGAGACTGCGATGATCCAGCATGATGGCTTTCGGATTTCCGGTAGAACCAGAGGTGAACATCACTGCCGCCATGGACGAAGCGGGAAGCTTTCGATGTAGCAATTGCTCTTGAGCCCCAAGACGCCTGGTCAGCGCCTGCCTGGGACAGATGACAAGTTGCATCTGGAACAGATGAGCATTCTCTGCAAGAGCCAGCACGACCTTCGCCGACACGGTCTGCAGCATGGCATGCAGTCGTGCTTTGGGAAGAGAAGGGGGTATCATAGCAAATGTAGCGCCGGTCTTGAGGACAGCGAGCATTGATACAGGCACCCACCTTGATTTCTCAAAGCTCAAGGGTACAATCGTGCCGGGACCTACAAGAAATAAGTTTTGCAGGCCAACGATGCTGGTGGATGTCAGAACTCACCGATGTCAAGAACAGCTAAATGGAACGCCAAACGACTTGAAAGATCGTCAAGCTCGCGGTACGTGAGGTCACCATCGTGAGCACAGACAGCTAAGGCGTGTGGATGTCGTTGTGCATTTGCAGCCACAAGATTGTGGACACTTCTTTCCACCGGAATTGGGGCCTTCATGTTCCATTGCAAGACAGCTTTGGTATCTTGGTCGCTGGCTGTCTCGATTTCGGCCAGCTTTACCCCCTGATTGTGCATGGAGCATAGTTGGCGCAAGATCCTGTCAAGCTGTAGAAGCATTCTCGATGCTTGTTTTGCCTCAATGACTCGAGAATCGAAGCTAATTCGAGTGAAGACTCCATGATCTTGTAGTTGACACTCCAGCATCACAGCGTACGGATTGAAATCTTTCAGCTCGTACTTCGGGACTCGATGCCCCTTGCTGAAGACAGAGCTCTCTTTGTCGGAATTCTGATCGGCATGTTGAATCAAGAGGATGCTTTGAAAGTCACAAGCTCTCTCTGCGTCGCCGCTCGCCCGTCGAATGTTTTGCAGGCCGAACTGTTCGTGTCCTATTGACTCGATGGAGTGCTTTTGTATCCTGGATAACAGGTTCGAGACGCTTTCTTCTGGCCTCAGGACCGTTCGAACAGGTAATGTGGCAATCGTCGGGCCCGTCATGAGTTCGATGCCTGGCACAGCCGCTTGTCTTCCAGAGACAGTAGCTCCGTAGACTACATCGTTGCAGGCCGTGTATTGTGCGGTAAGCAGCGACCACGCCGCACGAATGACAGTCGAGGGGGTAACTTCTCCCTTTGGCCACCGGAGACTTCGTATGTCGTGCTCTACCTCGCCGTCCGCCTTCGTCTGAAAGTTCGGAGTAGGAAGTTTGGGGAACGGTTCTGCCTCTGCGCCTTCCAGTGTATGTTGCCAGAAGTCCGCGGACTGGGCCTCATCAATCGACGAGACGTGCTTGACAAATGTTTGAGACTGCCCCGATGGCTGAAGGGGTGGCTCAGAGTAGGCTCGCTCTAGTTGATCGAGCAAGAGCGGGACGGACCAACCATCACAAATTGCATGGTGCATCGTCCAAGACAAAAATGTTTTGCCACTGGGGCTGTCTGTTCTGAAGCTGAAGTGGGCAAGAGCTGTACACATTCCCCTCTTCTGCTGGAAATGTTCGTCAGAAACTCGCGGAACTGGCTCAAGCGCCCTTCTGACGATGATCTGTACTAAGCCTTCACCTGCTACGTCAACAATCCTCGTGCGGAGGATTGGCTCGGCCTGAATCAGTTCGCCCAAAGCATTCTCTAGTCTGTTTAGACAGACTTCCGGTTTCAACTCAAAAGATTGCCGCACCACGTAGTCGACACTTCCTCGGGCAGACAAAGCTATGAGACCTGCTTGGAGTGGCGTGCACGGAAAGATATCCTCGATATCTGGAAGAGGCACTCCGCAAAGATCCGCAACATATTGTCGTGCAACTGCTTGCTCACCTTTGAGCAGTGCGAAAGGTTCGACGAAGCCATGTTCATCGGACTCAGCTTTCGTCGACAAATTCTCATCGACGTGACGTGCAAGATCAGAAAGCATCGGAAAGCTAAAGACGTCGGCCACGCTAAGCTTGATGCCTTCTCGTCGAGCAATAGGGATAAGTCGCATCGCTTTTACGGAATCGCCCCCAAGCTTCAGAAAGGTATCGTCTGCACCGATGTTCTGGAGTTGGATCTGGAGCACCTGTGACCAGAGCTTCCGTAATGTAATCTCTGTCGGCGTATCGGGAGGTTTCCACGCCCTGCGTGCAAGATTGAGATTGGCGAGTTGGTCTGAGGTGAACGTAGATCCAATTTCCCGCAGTCTTCGACGATCCGTCTTCCCCGTGGGTGTGACTGGTATGTCATCCAGACCAAGACTTTCGACAGATATATATACTGATGGGATCAGGTATGCAGGCAGCACTTCTGCCAACAAGATATCCAGATCCAGCAGTGCGGCGCTGAGATCTTCATCAGACTTGAGGAAGACGACTAGTGTTCCATCTGGACTTCCTTGGAGTTTGAGAACATCCGCCACGACTTTAGCATTTGCTGTCTGTTCGAGGTTCCTCGCGACATGATACTCAACATCACCGAGCTCAACACGTTGACCGCGGATCTTGACTTGAGCATCTTTTCGACCAGCGAACACCAGCTCATGGCCTTCTCGGCGAACAAGATCTCCTGTCCGGTAAAGTCGGCCACGTCTTCCCGCGGAGCCATGAGCTCCTTGCAAGAGCCATAAAGGGTCTTCAACGAAAGCTTCTGCGGTCTTTGCTTGAATCTTGTAGTAGCCTTTGCCCACAAGCGGTCCTTCGATCCAGAGTTCTCCAATTTCACCGTGAGCCGCGAGGGAGTTCGGGTCTTCTGTGTCAACTATCCAAGTACAGATGCCGACTCCAAAACCAATGTTCGGAGATATCGCATGCTCAGTAGTCACGGTTGACAAGACTGAGCACTCTGCCGGACCATATGCGAAGCGCACGGATGTCTTTTGTCTCATGCGGGCCACTTGCCGCGCATCTGGAGCCTCGCCTGCAAGTTCGATCAGGTCCAGCTGCTGCAGTGACGCATCATCGAGAAGTTCAGCCACCTTCGGCGTGAAGTTTGCAAAGTTCGGTCGCAGTCTTTGGATGCTGCCGTTGATGTCATTCTTGCGGTCGTTCTCCGATGGTATGCAAAGGCAGCCACCAGCTGATAACGTATGTAAAGTATTGTACCACGCCGCATCAAAGGCGTATGACGCAAAGTCGAGAGCTCTCGTATCTCTGCGAAAGCCAAGATGAGAAGTCTGGTATCTCAGAGCGCTGCTGAAGTTGCTGTGCGTGATGACGACGCCCTTTGGAGTTCCCGTACTTCCTGACGTGAACACAATGTAAAGAGTGTTCGATGGGTTCACTCGTCGTTCGAAGGCTTTTGTTGAGGCTGTGTCGACTGGAGATTCGCCGGCGAGAGTTTCTTCACCAACCGGAACAATGGTGGCTCCAGGGCGCAAGGCATGGGCGAGGGTATTGCAACTTGAAGAGCACAGAATGACCTCTGGCTCTACTTGATCGACCATCGTACGCAATCGGGTTTCTGGTTGACTGACATCTATCGCCATTGAGGCTCCCCCAGCTTTCATCACTGCCAGCATTGCTACTGGCATGAACATACTCTTCTCGAAACACAGTGGCACGATCTTCTCCGGGCCTGTTCCGAGCTCGATGAGTTTCCGGGAAAGGACGGTCGATAAGCGATCTAGCTCGCCATATGTAAGACCTCCGTCGTGAGCACATATTGCTGGGTCTGTAGGAATTATGTCCTTGAAGATCAATTCGTGCACTAGCTCGTTGATTGGAACCGGTGCTGAGGAGTTCGCAGTCGGTGTCCGTTGTAGATCCTCTTCAAGGAGACAAGAAGTCGCCGTGACAGCTTTTTGTGACGATGCGGCCCTCGCGTGCGACTTGGCTGCGTCGAGAGATTCATCCGCACTCGATGGACTGACATAGCCACTGTCCCGGTCACTGGAGCTCGAGTATCCACGTCGACGTGCGACGATATCAGCCGGCTTGTCCATGTCGAAGGCAGGGCGGTCCAAGCATGAGCGCAGCTCTTTGCCAGGATAGAGACCTCGCCATGGTATGCCTCTGGGACCGTCAATAAGGTACCACTTAGCGGACAAACATATGTTGCGGTTAGCAGCCTACTGAGGGAGTCATAGATCGTCGATGTAAGGATCGGTCAGCTTGCCAGGTGACCTTCCGGTGTGCAATAGTGCAACAGCATTGAGCAGGACATCAATACGGATAGCGCTCCCGATGTGAAGATCGAGTGGCTCGGTATCGAATCGGTGTTGACATTGCGACCACGCGGCAAGTTCGCGACGCTTGCAACGTTCAGTGAGTTGGCACACGAGGCTGTGGATTATACTAGCTTCGAAATCGCGCCGGTGCCACTTGAAGCGGCAGCCAGCAACGTGCGTGATGCAGCAAAATGCGTAAGCCGTTTGAAAGTAGGATCGTCGTATCGCACACGGTAGTTTGTATTCGCCGAGCCGCATTCTCGATGCCTGTGCAGTTAGCTTCAACGTAACGCTCGTGGAACAGTCAGCCAGGAGGGAGGATCACGGCAGACAGTAGAGTACCAACATGGGACTATGACGCTCTCGATCCCAGTAGACAGTCGACTGCAACAAATCAGCGTGGAAAGTTGTTACACATGTCTCATTGAGGTGCATGGCGGTTGGCGGATAGACGGACTCCATCCTTGCGGCAGTGATCCTGGCTCGGAGTTTCCAAAATCTCAGCCTTGCCGTATATCTTGCGATCCGGATGCTGGAGCAGGCTATGAGCCGACCCTAATCCCCAAGATCTCGCAAAAATGACTTCTGCGGAGACCACCAGCACAATTCCGACGATTGATCTCTCTGCAATCGTACAGAGTGAAGACCCAGCGGTTCGCAAGGCCAAAGCAATTGAATTCGTGGAAGCCGTGCATGTCCATGGCGCCTGTGGCATCGTTGGCCATGGCATATCCGTCGAGCGTCTGCGAGAGGCCTTCAAGTGGTCGGAGAAGTTCTTCAATTTGCCCACCGACGTGAAGAACAAGGCGCCACATCCAAAGGGTATGGTGCCCCATCGTGGATACTCTGGCTTCAACACCGAGAAGTGTTTGATCTACACGGAAGAGGAGCTTGCTTCCATGAGCGGCGAGCTAAGCAAAGATTCCGGCAAAGCCCTTGACTTCAAGGTAAGAGATATGTTTCAGGCCAAGAGATGTATGCTGATTCCGAACAGGAGCACTACGACATCGGCAGTGAGGAGGAGAAGGTCCATTACAACCTCTGGATCCCGGATGAAGATCTTCCAGGGTTTCGCAATTTCATGCTCGACTTCTTTTGGGAGTTCGAGTCACTGAGCAAGCTGGTCCTGGACGCCCTGCTCGAGGGTTTGGAAATCGACAAGGCCGCGACAGACTACTACCGTAGCATCCACACAGGGCATCAGAACGGCATTCGTCCAATCCACTACCCTCCGATCAACGAGTCGATGATTGACAGAGAGTCTCTGACTTGGTGCCCAACACATACAGACTTCACGTCTTTCACGCTGCTTGCCCAGGATCTGGCAAGTGGTCTGGAAATCGAAGACCGGAAAAACCCAGGAACCTTCTTCAAAGCGACGACTGACATCGAAGATCGGTTGTACTTGACTATTGGCGACCACATGGACACTTGGACCAATGGCTATCTTCCAGGTTCAAAGCACCGAGTGGTCATTCCTCCGCCAAAGGATGGCTCCAAGGTGACACCGAAGAGATTCTCCATGCCGTACTTTGTGACGGCTCGGCATGATGGTGTTCTGGAGCCGCAGCATACGGGCAAGGCTGCCGAGATGCCGGAAGGGAAGTATAAGAAGATGACGGTTGCCGAGCATATCGAATTTCGGATGAAGTACCAGTACACTGATATTGGTGATGAGGAAGCGTCGTCATAGACTATAAGCTAGTGTCGGATGTTGGCGTGGCACAACCGTCGTAGGATCTTGTTCTGCAGTAGCCTGATTGAAGGATTTTCGCCCCTGACGTTCATTCCCCGAGCGTGCGTTCACGTGGTCATGCTCTAGTCTTTCCCCATCTTCAAACTCATTGTTTTGGGTGTATTCGATGTTTGTATGAACTTGTACTGATAGACTTGCGCGATGAGAAGATCGCATACGTCAGTGCGCCTCTGTCGGACTTGTGTCAATCGTTTGTTGATGGATGAAGGTAGTGTTACGATGCAGTGACGTTCAGGCAAAGCCTTCGCTCGAGAACGGCCCGTAGTGCACTAATCCCAGGGCGGCAGTACATCGCTCTTAGGTAATACGAACGAGAGCTTAATTATGAGCGAACTTCGCTGTTGGAGTAATGCTCACTTAGTCTCGGTCTGCGAATCGATTCATCTTTCCATCACCATGTAACACGGCAGACCGTCAAGACTTTGGCGGCACTGACCAAAGCCAGACTATTGTGTCTCCATTGATCAGTACACGTGGTGAGCCTGCTCGAGTCAGGCTGTAAAATTGGACTGAATGATAGCCCATGGTTCGGCTGATCTCCGAGGAGCTATGGACTTCGTCAGCTAGGACGGTCTCTTTTCTGTAGACTTGTGTGAGGCCAGATGGAGTTTCACTTGTCGCCCAACCGGTGTAGAGCCACATGTTCCAGCGGCTCTTCTATTGTCCCGACCATGAGCTCCATTCGTCTAATCGAAGCAGGTATCGAGGAGCCTTGCGGGCGGATGCTGTCTGTCAAGCGCTGTTGCAATCACTTCATTCGTAGTTGAGCCGGATCTTACATTTTCACCCTCTTCCCATTACGCTACTCTGTGCCAGGGGCTGTATCGTCAAGATGTCCACAACAGCAACAATGGAGGTCTTCATGACCAAGACCAAAACTCTGGACGACAATGTGTCCGAGCAAGTACGTCTTGAAGACCAGCACGAAACAGTCATCCACGCCATGGGCGGCAAACCTTTGTTCGCTCCGGTGGACTTGTCTCGGCCAGGTCTCAAGGTCTTGGACTCAGGTTGTGCCAATGGTGAGGACTCCAACGGGTGGTTAAGACTGTCCTGCTAACGAACCTACCAGGTCGTTGGTTGAAAGACCTGCAAGCTGCATCTTCGGCTGAGCACGAGTATGTCGGCACAGATGTGGTCGAGTCTCTGTATCCCAAGCCTCCGCCAAAGAACACGCAGTTCTTCGATCAGTCAATCAAAGAGTCCTGGCCAAAAGAATGGGCGCGCACGTTTGATGTGATCCATCAGAAACTAGTCATGGCAGCTGCTCTGCCGGAGCAAAATACATCCAGCGTGGTCAACAGCTTTGCCGGTCTCCTCGCTCCTGCAGGCTGGCTGCAGATGGTCGAGGTTGATACTGAGCCTCTCGTGAACAACGGCAAGGCCCAGAACCAGTACATCGAGATGTTGGACACGCTGTACAACAAGCTCGGCTACGGCAAGTCTCGAATCTTTGCCGATCTGCCAAGTGAGATGGAAAAGGCTGGCCTTATCAATGTTGAGAAGAAGGATGTGCTCGTCAAATATGGCGCTGCCGTCAAGGATGACGAGGACATTGGAGTGAAAAGCTTGCGAACCGCCGTTGCCGGAGTGCCAAACTTCTTGTCTGTTTTGAAGGGTAAGTGCAAGGGCATGTTGAATCGAGGGATCCTTGCTAACCGCCTTCAAGCCATGCCAGACGCCTGGCGAGAGGAATGGGACGACCTGCAAGAACGCCTCAAGCAAGAGCTCGCCGAGAGAGGGGGCCAGATGAAGTACATCGTCTGCTGGGGCCAGAAACCGTCTCCATAGACGGCGTTACGACTTGAGCTGGACCAGTAGTCGTTCGTAGCCTGCCAACGAATCTGGTCCGCAGCGAGTCACCTCGAGTAACTCAACAACTTCTTTGTCCCAAGGCACTTGGCATTCACTTACCTTTCACAAACCTCTTTGTCCCTTCACACAATGCCCTTGTTCAAAACACCCAGCAGCAACACCCCATCACAATGTGTTGTTCATCTAGGACCATTCCATCCCATATAGACCGGCGCTCCAAGATGCCAGGCTCCTTCCTATTCCAGAGAACCCAAGCAAGAAGACGGAGACGGAGACCACGAAAAACCAGCAGCCCCCACTGATTTACATCGAAAGACACAAGCGTACTCGTCCAGAACAACAAGAAGACCGAGAGCTAGGAGCCAACCATGGATCCAAACCAGATTCTCGCCCTGCAGAGCTTCAACTCTGGCGCTGCCGGGCAGAACCAGACCCCAAACAACCCCAACACCCAACAACCACCCACCAACCCAGCCTCGCAAGGCCCAAACAACAGCCTCGCCATTCCCGACGTCTTCACCAACGCCACAGCCTCCACGCGACCAGCAGACTGGGGCAAGCCCAAGCACAACATCCCCTGCACCTGGGAAGGCTGCGGTCAGATGTTCACTTGCCGCCACAACGTCGAGCAGCACATCCGCGAGAAGCACACCGGCGAGCGTCCCTACGTCTGTGCCATCTGCGCGCAGCATGGCGGTGAGGCTACGTTCGCGAGACCTGCTTCGTTGTACCGACATATGCGCCAGCAGCATCGCATCGAGCCTGATGTGCCCAATAAGCGGAGACCGAGGAAGACGGTGAAGACGACTGGGCCTGTGAGTGCTGTTCCTGCGTCGGCGGCGCAGCCGAAGAAGAGAGGGAGGAGGCCCAAGGCTGCGGATCAGCAGGCTTCTCCTGCTCTTGAGCCTACGTCGATGGCCATGCCAATGCAGCCTGCTTCTTTCAACATCCAGTCGTGCGAGTATTGCGGTGCTGAGCTGACCGGAGCAGAGCATGCCATGCTCCACATGCACCTCGAGCACAGCATCCCAGCATCCCCCAAATGCGGCTGCAGCTTCTGCAAGAACCAGCGCATTCAACAAGCGCCTCTTCAGCAGCCTGTACCTTTCGGTACTCTGCCACCAGCTCCCCAGCAGCCCGCGCCCTTCTCACTGCCAATTCAGCAACCTCAACCCCGCCGCCCCCTGTCAATCTCTCAGCTTGAGGAGCGCTTGCTCGCTGTTCAGCAAGAGCAGCTTTCCACAGAGTCGACGACTGGCAGTGCTGACTTCACTCCGCCATTCGACCCAGCTCCGACTCCAGGTCCCGATGGCTCTGAGCAGCAGTTCCCAGACACTGATCCTGCGCAGAACGGCTTCGGCTTCATCGACTACTCTCAGTTCGCGGATGGATTCGGTGAGCTGCCGCACGGCCTTGATGATCTCTTCCCTGAATTGGGCGACATCAGCAAGTTCGGCGGTGACTTCAACTTCTGAAACACTTTCCCCAACAGTAAGCCCCCATTCCCCCGCCCTATTTCTTCAGCATTCTTTTTGCGTTCTTGTTTTTGGTTTTGGTGATCTGGATATTGACAGGACAGATGACGGCAAGACTGTCGGTGGATTTGACGAGGAACATGTCTCGACAGGATGAGACGGGATGCAGGAGAATCAGACGAGTCTGGCTCGCCCTGTTGATTCGAAATGCTTGCTTGAGAATGTTGTACTTTTACATGGTCTTGGATTACCTGCTTTGCACCAGAGCAGTGGCTGAATGGGAAACGTTGCGCATTGCTTTCGCCTCACGCCTGAATCGGTTCACACATCGGTGATCGTAGGGCACGTCTTTGTCCACCGCTGTGCGATGCGCACAGGGACCAAGATTTGCCTAGTCAAGTACGATGTACCCTTCGTCGAAGCTCCCTAGTGTCCTCGTTTTTCTCGCTCTTCTGAACGAAGTAGCCTGATCGATCGGTCAGAGGCCTCGCGGTGCCCCTGGTTGACATGAGTGTTGGCTGCGAGACTGAGTGAAACCAGGCAGGTAAGAACAACAGACTCCCTCTAATCTGGACTCCCTAAACTGGCTGCCACGCCGACGATCTAAAGCCACTGCTTGATATCCAAGACGTGGCCACACCACTGCGAAAGAAGAGAATGGGGAATGGCAACAGTCGGTAGCAAAGACCTCCATCTGCTGCTCGCGAGCCTGCGGAGTTTCACAGCGTGTCGAACCCCAATGTACTTGCTGCCATACCCAGAACATAAGGTCGTCGTCATCAACGTACACGCAGAACTCCAGGCGTCTCACCGATTGCAACCCATGTGCGCAGAGCGACGAGCAGTCATTGAGTGGGAAGAAGAGCGCGTGTCCAATGATCTCGTACTGAGGCGTTGCAGGTCCCATTTTGCGGACGATCAAGGCTGAACGATCGAGATAGCCGTGCTCGGTGGGGTCGTTGACGGGGAGGGTTGAGGGTGGGATTTTAATCCGCCGGAACCATGATTGGACGAGTCCTGAGCCAGGCGGTGAAATTGTTTGTCGTGCGCTCTGTGGGACTGTCTTGCAACGGGCACATAAGGCAGCGCCAGCGGTCGGACCACGGGAAGAGCGGCGTTTGGTCGGTGATTCGAAAGGCTTGTACAGTGGTCCCGAAGCGTGCTCGTTGTCCGACTGAGAGTGGACGACTGGTTGGCACATGGTCATGGCTCAACATACGGTGCTGCCGTATTTTCAACATTCCCCGGTCACCGCGCCCAATGTCAAGCAAGCGCACGACCCGACTCGCAACCTCTAGCTGAGCACCACTACAAAGTCGCAGAGTCTTGATAGCCAGTTCCGTCCTCGAAAGCGAGTAGTCTGCGGCGAGCGACTCGACGCCATCACTCCTCTGCACCAGTGAAAGAATGCCAAAGATACGATCGCGGATGTCATCACAATCCCTCGGTCCGAGAAGATCAAGAAGTTTTTCAAAAGTGAGGAGACCTTTTGGTGAACCTCGGATGATTCGTCGAAGTCGCATTGTGGCCGACATTGGGGTAGATTCCAGCATGGTATGATCGTTTCCAGTCACGAACTTTGGGTCCGCAGTGCCTCGCAAGATTTCTCGCAAGCCGTTGTTGACAGCCGCGATGATATCGAACGGAACCGAGCTACTGCCACGAAGAAGAACCACGTTCGAGGGGAGCGCGAACTCTTGGACTATCCACAGATGACTCCAACACGGATGCGTGCCAAGTGCTATGAGGCCACGGGCCAGGGATTCCAGAGTCTCGTGATCGAGCTGTGCTAGGTTGGCTTTGGTTGTAGTTGAATCTCGTGTGATGCCTAGGCCTTTCATTAGTCGAAACAAATCCCCGGTAGTGCGATCATGGCGGCCCACAGCAATGGCACACAGTGCCGCATTCTGGTAGATGGCTCCCATGAGGTCCACCTGTGCGCTCTTCTCCGCGTTGTCCGCCTGATTGATACATATCGTGTCAACCCAGCAGTATTCGCCGAAATTCTTCAGACGCAGTTGACCCAAAGCATACCAGCAGTTCTCGGTGATGAGGAGAAGCCTTCCATTGGCGGAGATTCCCTTCGTGAGTCGCCTGTCTCTCCAAGTATAGGACAATGCAGTATATTCAGGGGCAGAAGTTCTCTCGTAAGCTTTGACGGATATAGTCAGAGGGTCCTTGTTAGATGCCGGGTGTATCTTGACGAGGCGGATGTATCTGCGGGAATCAGGGAGCGGCTCGTGTTGGTAAGGCTCGAGGGACATTGTGGCTGACTTCTCCGGAGAACCGATTTTGATATTGAGGTTTTCCATTGACTCTTAAGGATGTACGGCCGCCTTGTATACACATGCCGGCTGAGGCACCAGCCATTGGAATCTGGGTCTGTGTAACAAGCCATCTCTTCGTGTGTAACGACGTACAAGTCAATACTACCGTCTCCTAAGAGTCATTACTGCTGCCTGTTCCAATGGAATGCGACTCCACATGTCGAAGACATCGAAGACAGAAACACAAAAAGTCGAGACCACGAAGTGAAGTCCACAGAATCTCGGCCCCACCCCCACCGCCAAGCCCAATTGCGTCCTGCAACCCCTCTACGCGTCTCCACGCCACCACCACCATCCATCCATCCAAACACTTCAATTCACTTCAGCCTCACCAAACAAAACCCCAACCAAAAACCCCAACCATGTCCGAAGCAACCCCCCGCATAACCGCCCGCTACCTCGAAGCCTTCTCGCACCGCACCGTGCGCATCCTGGGAAAAGTCGCCCAAATCCGCGGCGAAACGGGAACCCTCGACAGCGATGGGCAGATAACCTGTCATCTGAATCGCGTAAGTCCACCTCTAGAAGCACAACAGGGAGTGGAGTGAAGTTGGTACTGATATGTATTGCATAGGACGCCCACTGGCAACTCCACCACGCCTTCGAGATCATCGGCAAAGTGCAGAATGATTTGAGTGTGAAGGTGATGGCGAGTACGGATATGGGGCCTGAGGGGGCTGTTGGTAGGAGATTTTCCTTCTCATGGGGAGAACAAAACCATCGCGAATTTACATGTGCTGACTATGGATGGTTCAGATTTCACGGCGTACGAAGCTGTTGTTGATGCGACGCATCACTATCATGAGATTTTCTACGACAAGGAGCAGTCGTGAGGACGGGATGACTACGAATTGGACGAATTGAAGGCCGGGAATGAAGACTTCGGACAAAGCCTATGAAAGAGGCAATGCGATGGAAAGGCAGCTTGAGATGTCCGCTCTGTCCAGCAGAGCTCAGTGGCATGATTGCTCGATGCTCTAATGTACAGCCATAAAAGTACAAAATACCCGTATGAGATCAGAGCAGCGTTCTCTCGCCCAGCGAGTCCAACACCAAACCTCTGATCGCAACGCCAAAAACGCGCTCGCTGAAAAGCAAGACTTTCAACCAATCTCAAAAATACTCCTCTTATCTTCCACCTCACCTCACTCATACCCTTAATCAAAAACCACCTCAAGCCGCAACAGCCAACGCCCCCATCCCCTCCACCACACCCTTCAACCCCGCCTCCCCAACCAACCCATCCCCCGCCGTCTGCCCCTTATCCGCCGCAAACCTCCCACTCCTCACAAAATTCGCCTCAAAATTATAATGCTCGTCCAAAATCGGATGGATCAACACATTCTGATTATGGATCGTCAACACACTATTCGTGGGCACTGTAACCCAATTATCGCGTTCGAACGTCAGCGGTTCCGAGGCGACGAGCACGATATCGGCGCCTTTGTCCATGCGCTCCATTTTGTATTCGCCTTTGCCGATTTTGGGCTTGATGCCGGGGCCGAACGGGGAGGGTTGTTGGCGCCAGTTGGTGCCGGAGGAGAAGAAGAGGGAGGCGGCGTCGTCGGTTTTGGAGGAGACGTAGCGCGTGCAGACGACGCTTTTGCCGTCGGTGACGGCGAAGTTTAGGAGACTTCGCACGTCGTTGCCCTCCCTCGCGCTCGCAGGCAAGGCTTTGATGAACCCGTTGATCCTCGCAATCGTCCTGAGCATCGCCTTTCTCAGCACCGTATGTCCAAACCCATCCCGCTGCTTCACCTCATCATCCGCATCCACGCCTTCCTGTTCCAGCGAGTCCAGAAACAGCGCGAACGCCCACTCGCTATCCGTCGCCCCTTGCACGCCCTCAAACCACCGATCACTGATATCCGTCACAAGCCTCCTCTTAACCCCCAACTTCCACCCTCCTATCCCGCCATTATGCATCCACATCAACGCCCCGCGCGAGAAAGGATGGCAATTGCTATCACTCAACGCCCCCTCGGTACTCGCCCTCACATGCGCAAACACCAACGGCGACACCGTCTTGCTCGCCAACCGCTCCAGATTCCTGCAATTCCACGCCGGGATCGTCGACGTAAATATGCAAGGCTCCGGGCCTAGGTCCACAACATCCTCCCCCTCCTCTCCCGCAAGCTCTCCCTCCTCGCTCCTCTTCCTCCTTCGCCGTCCACTCGCCTGCGCGGTGTAATACCCGACCCCAAACCCATCCCCATTATGCGGCCGCGTCTGGTCGAGTCTCAACCGGGAGTCATAGCTCTGCGTGAGGATGCTATGCGTCGGACTCGTGATGAGGTGCGAGAGGAGGATCGGGCTTTGGCCGGAGTAGATCAGGAAGCGACACATTCTCCAAAATTCAAGCCGTCCCGGACGCTTCTTATATATCTGTGTACTCCTCTTTTCCCCCTCTTTCCAATTCCAACTCCTCACCGCAAACCCCACTTCCAGAATACCACCTCCTCACGACACAAAAAGTCTAATATATCTCCCCTTCCCGTCTGTTTCGCCGAACGAGTAGGCCCGAATCGTCGTCTGGACCGTGGGGTTCTACCAGAACGCTCGGTGTTTTCTCTGTTACTCCTCACCGGAAACCTCCCGCATCGGTAACGTGCCGTGTGCCGTGGGTGCCAATGTGAGGAGTAAGGTAAAAGCGTGGGCGTGGAGTTTCGAGAAATGAGGGGTTCTAGACGTTGGTCGATGTACCGCGGCGGCGGAAGGGACGAACGTAGATAAGGTACAGACGGGCGTGGCGGACACGTTTTCTTGTAACGATGGCGTGCCGGATGAGGGCGTAGGATGGAGTTTGATTCTTGGCCGGTATGTCGTTGCCCGAGGGTTTGGTTGTTGGTGGTTGTTGTACACACGACTCGCACGTGGCGTCGTTTCCCGGCAATATCGCGTCATGGCACGGCACGTGATATCAACCTCTACATCACCAGCAGCAAGGTACGATAAAGGAGAGAAGGACATCAAACCGGCTTAAGAAACAGCCTTTGCCAACTCTACGTGACAAAACAAGTCCCCCCTAGAATACACAACCAACTTCTGCTTTCTCGCTCGTTTGTGCCCCTGTTCGACAAGAAACAACAGCTTCACTTTTTCTCCCGTTTTCCCAAAGCCTCCATCCCAACCAACAACCCATCCCTCCCATCCTTCCCATAAACACTACCATAAAACACCAGCCGTCCCTCCCCTATTTCAAAAAACTTCACATCAACATCAACAAATCTCTGTGCGCTGTCCATTGCCGTCTGCTCATGATGATGATTGCTGGAATGGAAGCGACAGATTAAAATAATGCATCACCGCCCTCGTGCGAACGAAAAATGCATCGACTCTGGCTTTTGTTGCTTTTGGGTTTCTCTTCTTCGTCTTCTTCTTCTTCTCTTTTTCTTTTGGTATGTGGTGTGTAAAATCGTCATATGCACAAAAGTTTTGGACGGTACTTCAGGGTGAAAAAGACAGGTCTGTACAATCGGGTTCGTATTGTCGTGGTAATAAGAATAGCAGAACGGTCGGAGTATCTCGAATGTGCAAGACGCCGCGCCTGGTCATAACGGTCGTTCGGTTCGAAACGAAGGTGGTTCTTCAATTACTGCGTGCAGGAGGCTGCAGCGCGACGGTCCATGTGTGAGGCTTCGGTTTCGAGGGCCTTTGCCATGACGTGGGTGACTGTGACAAATGTTAGTGAGCTACTTTTGGGTGCCGGTTTCTGTATGCACTTACTCGGCCAAATGACCGCCTTCTCCAGCATCATGGCAGTAACTCTCAGCACCTTGCTTCCAAGCCCACAAGAGCTCAAATCAACCCCATTCGCCAGAGTATTCATGCCTGTTGAAGGATTGAAGTTGTTCATGTCCATGGCCAGAAGACTTTCTTGGTGCAATCGCTTCTCCTCCATGTTGATGCAGATTTGCTTAATCTTCTCTAGCAACTCCACATCTTCCGCCGTCAACAGCATGATAGCCGGCACTTGTGAATATTCGACGTGATCGCGACCAATAACACCAAGATAGTTGCCCACACGTTCTTGGACCGTCGTACACCACTCGGCAAGCACTTGACAGCAGTCGAAAAAGCAGATGGCGGATTGGATGGGCAGCTCATGTGCAGTGGCATCGGCATAAGTCAGGTTGAAGTTGCATGCGATGGTGAGAGAGTCGGCAGCGTAGAAGGCAGCCTTGCGGAGGTGCTTCTCTCGCCTCGAGCAGTTCTGGTCTCCATGCTGTAGCTGCGATGGTCTCCGCTGCGCTGGAGTGTTGTTTGCAGAGCCATTAGCGCCTGTCGACCCCTTTCGTATCTTGGGGCCGTCTGGGTTCTCAGTGTCCTCCTCGAAGTCGGCCAGCGCATTAGCCATGCCGTCGAAGTCACGGCGCCAGAAAGCTTCTGCACTCCGACCCAGATTGACGTAAAGTCGCACGAAAGCCAGATCCAGGAGAGGGATGCTGTCAGCTGACAGAGGGCCAAGACCAAATGGATTTGGTCGCTCTAACTTATGGTGCGGGTGAGCCTTCCATGCTAATTGCCAAGCATTCAATGCTGGCTCGATATGCTGGACCATCTGTTCAGTCTCATAAAGCGTCCAAGGTCGATGTGGGTGTCTGCTTCTGGTCTCCCAGATGTAGTTGTGCAAGGCGTTGATCAAGACAAGACAGCCATAGGTGCTTGGCTTGATGTCTTCCTCGCCACTTTGATGTGCCACTGAAGAATCACCGCTGCTGTTGTATATGCTCGGGGGGAAGTTGTTGCCTTGTCGCTCATTGGCAGTGAGAAGGGTGCTCAATGCAGACGCAAACGAGATGGAGCTGGCTTCAGCTGCAGCCATTCCACCCCGGGACTCCCACTCTTCTGCGCTGCGGGCTTCCCAGAGCTCCTCCGCGCATGGCAAATCTAGCAGAATCTCCGAGTTCATGATCGTCGGAGTCTGGTTGTACGCAGTGGTCAACAAGCTGGACATGACGAAGATGGCAAAGAGGCAGCGTTTGCGCTCTTCGGCGGTCTTCCACGTCAGCCATTGAGTTTGCAGATCTCCACCGTGCCCGTTGACAGCTCCATTCTCAGCCATATCGACATCGCCATTCTTTTGCTGTTGAATGCCATCTGCAGAGCCCGACGGGCTGGCGGGAGGCTTGGCGAGCTCGGCAGACCTAGCGAGACTGACAAGAGCCGCGATGTGATTGCTTGCGATGTCTGCAGCGATCCTATCACCGCAGTGATGTCCGTAGATGACCGTGAGTAGCATTGCTTGCACAAGCCAAAGTGGTGTTTCGCTTCCAGCGTTGGCTCCATTGGCTGCGGCAGAGATGTCTGCCTTGCGTCTCTCTTCGAGGTACAGCTGGATCATCTTCTTTGCGGCTTCGAAGAGATCTTTCGAAGCAGGGTGGTCATACTCGTACAAAGCCCCAATGGCCGCCATACCGAGTATTAGGCATCTCGCGCCACCGGTGTTGCCGCCCTGTGCCGAACTGCTCGATGGTGGTGTTCCCCGTGGACCGCTATTGGTCTCGATCACATCGAACGACAACGTGGCGACATGGCACACTGGCAGATGCGGGGCTGCAAACTGGATGAATGCGTCGATGTATCTTCGGATATCAGCTGTCGGAGGCAAGCTTGGCCCCTGAGGCTGCACAGCACCCTTAGCTGCTCCTGGGGAAAGTGGAGAGCTGACGGACGGCTGCGAGAACTTGCGGTGGCTGGTTCCATAGACAGAGGGTTGATTGAGGCTGTTCAGTAGAGCTTGCCGCGTGGAGTCAGTGATGGAATCTGTAGACATCGATGTCACTGAGCTCTGTCTGGCACTACCAGTCATGGACGACGAGGACATACTAGGGCTATTTGATCCAAAGTTGGACAGCGGGTTTCCAAACGTGCTTCCGTTCTGGCCATGCATGATGTCTGGCATCGAATGGTGGTGTTGCGGATGGCCGTTTTGTTGCGCCATGGCCTGGTGGAAGTATGCATCGGCCGTTTGGGTTGGGTCGTGCAAGCTGGTGGGTGATACAGTGCCATTCATGGATTCAAGATTCGGTAGTCCTGTACCTAGGGCATCCATATGGAATGGACCTGTCGTCATCATCTGCTGTGCTTGCATCTCTTGCTGCTGCCATGGTGAGCTGCTCTGTGGCATGGCGATGCCGACCTGGCTATTGCTCATGCTTTCAGAAAAGTCGGCGGGGCTATCGCCGCTACTAATGCGGGATGGCGATGACTCGTCAATGGCCTGCTCGTTGTCGTTACCATTCGCCATCTGCATGTTCCAGTTGCGCATCCAGCCAAAGTCATCATCGGTCGGGACTTGCTGGTTGCTGCTCATGTCGTAGCCGAATGGGATGTTCGTAGAAGCTATCTGGCCAGCTCCGCCAAAGTGAAGAGCTGCTGGGTTGATGGTAGTGTGTGGTGTGAAGAGCTGATCAATGTCAAAGCCACCAAAGTTGCCAGCTGGCGCCGTTCGTAGGGAATTGCTCATGTCCATGTTATTAATGTGCTGGGTATCCAACTTGGGCAGGCCATGGCCATTACCATGATGTCCAACTGAGGTTGACATGCCTCGATAGTCGAAGCTGTCGGGCCCAGGAAGGCCATTGACGTTCATGGGGTGTGCCATTCCCAAGCCAAGCGCATTCATGCGGTTCAGATGTGGGTGGTTGTTGTCGACCAAGCCAAGCGAGGCAAGGTCAATGTGGCTGACTGTGTTGGCTCGTGGTCGTTGCTGTGCGAGGTTTCCAGCCGCACCACCAATGTTCGCATTGGCGACTGAGTTCTTGCGGACTCTACCATTGCCATTCGAAACACCGCTGGCACTCTCTCGTCTACCCTGTCGGGGACGAGTCGTGGCATTGGTCATGTGCAGCTTCTGCTGATGCCGCAGCAGCAAGTCTCTTCGCGCAAAGCATCGCGTGCACTCGGGACACTCGAAAGGCTTCTCTTTGGTGTGTGATCGTTCGTGTCGCTTGAGATGCTCTAGCCGCGCAAAGGATCGGCCGCAGGTCGTGCAGACGTGAGGTCGAGGCTTGTCCGTCTTCGGCGCCGGAAATTGGCCATTTGCAGTGCCATTCTGGGGTGCGGTGGGTTTGCCGTTCGACTGCGCTCGACCTGTGAGAGATGCTTGTTAGCGAGAATGCGGAGAAGCGGTGGGTGGTGTCGTGGCTGGGCGACACACCATTCGTCTGCGGTGTGTTGGAAGCAGCGTTCACACTCGATCCCGGAGAGTTGGTCTCGGGCTCTTTCTTGACTGTTTCCGGTTGCATGCTCCAATGCAGAATGTATAACAATAATATGCACTTCCCAAGCTCTTCAACAAACGCCGAAACAAGGATACACTTCTACAGGGCGGACGACGAGTCAGGTGGCGGTGGAGGAGGCGGGGAGGCGGGGAGGGTAGGTCGTGGCTGCGTGTCGCAACTGCTCATCGAATGTCGCCGGACGTAGCGGTACTGCTTTCTGGAGTGCTCGATCAGGCGAATCGCCAGGCTGGTGGACACAGCTAGTCAAGTCGAAATGTCACTCAGATCCCGGGCTGCAGGGCAAGCTCGGAGCGGACGGTCGGTGTAGCAAGTACGAGAAACACACGACGGAAACACTGCCAGGACGATTGTCAACGGCGCCAGACGAGCGGTACGCGGCTGGGCAGCGCGGGCGGATCGAACGGTGCTGCTGGCAGCGGAGGGGAGACGGTGGTGGTGATAGTGGTGGTGGAGGCGCGGTGCAGTGGTGAGGTCTGCGGTGGACCCTCGAACCAAGCAAGCAGCAAGAGTTGGCCTGGCGGTCGTGCTGCAGCACCCAGCGAGCGGAAGGCTACCTAACCATGGATAGCTTTCGTCAGCTGGCATCCGGACGGGCAGGCTAGCGGATAGAGTTTTGGTCGAGCCGTCGAGGGACACATACACGAACACCGTGACTCTTGGGCCCAGTCGCAGCGCTCAACTCTAATGTGCAGCGGCTCGGGAGCTGCCCGAATAGGCGACGCTGTTTTATTGCTTTCTTTTATTACGTTTCTGCTGCGGTCTGGACTGTGTGGCAGAGCCGCTGGGGTCGAGAACAGCGACCGAGGGAGTGTAGTCGTCGTGGTACTTGATCAAGATATATATAATAACGAAATGAAGATGCTGTGGTTGTGAGAAACAGACTGCCAATCGCGCGGCGAGTAATGGACGACTTGGGGAAAATCTGGGGTCTGGAGAAGGTTTGCCGTGCGAGCTTCCTTCGCCGTGGTCAAATGTATGTGCAACGGTGCCACCTTCCGAGGCCGATGAGCGGCTGCGGCGACGGCGGCGATCAGACCAGAGGCGAGTCTCTGATGCTGCTGCTAAGCCAGGCGAGGTTTCAAGACCAGGTCGCCCACTCTCTCCTGTGTCCACCGCCGGCGCTCTCGCCCATCGCTCACTGAATGGCCCATCGTCAGGCAATCAATTGTGCAGCTCCTGAGCGGCAACGACGACGACGGGTTCGGATGCGGTGCAGACCCTGGTGTGCAGCTAGAGTGCTAGGAATACTGCAGGCTAGCATCTTCTCCCCTAGCACCGTAGTCTGTTTCTGCGACGCGCAGGTAGGCCGACGGCCAGACGACAGCGAGCGCCTGCTACTGGATGGGACAGACGCCTCCAGGCTGGCTCGCTCGCTATGCGCGGACTCGGGCTCCTGCCAAAAAGCTCGACTGCACTCGTGATCATCAGCGATCCTGTGCGAGCAATTTATGCACGCTGACTTTCCGCTCACCAGCGCGTGGCAACCAGACGGGCCATGCAATGCTGGTCGCCTGTCCGGCACAGCAGACTCGCCCAGGCGGTAGTGGCAGCAGAGACGAGCCGATGATCGGCTTGCCAGACGATGTTGACCAGCAGCGACAGCCAGGAATCGGCGGCTGCAGCAGCGAGCAGAGCCAGTGCCACCGTGTCCAGCAGAGTGGACCAGCGTGGTATCTGGTATCAGCGTTGCAGTGCCGCTGCCGCTGCCCGGGCGAACACACCCCGATACCACGTCTGCTGCAAACTGCCCGTTCCAAAGCTTCCATGCCGCCGCAGCGTCATTCAGTGGCAACGACGGGCGAATCAAGCAGCCATCGTTTGGGCAGAGTAACGCGGACTCGAATGATATGCCAAGCCTCTCGTTGCGGATACCCACCACCGCCAGCAGGGAAAACAGCAGCAGCAGCAGTAGTTGCTCGCTCCGTCTGGAACAGGAGCAGCGCCGGCAGCGTGCATTGGCCTGCGGAACCTGCAGTCTCACAGCACGCCTGGGCATGGACTACTCTCGCGCGCGGTGTCGTTGACCCAGACTGTCTGTCGCAGGGTGCTTCATGCAAACGCTGGTACTTGTGACCTCTTCTAAGCCACCGTGACCCGTCAGACCCGGACGTCATCGCCGCCGCAACAGCCAGCCAGCCAGCAAAGCTAAGCAAATGAACGCGCTTCGCTCGCCAGCATGACGGACGACGAGGATGATGATGGCAGAGGACGAGGTGCAGAGCGCAGCTGACCACGGAGCCCACAAAAGGCCGGCATCACATCCAATGTCGAAACGCGCATCGACGGTCGCTTCCCCAGAGGATCCGCAGAGCGACATTCAAATGCTGTGCGCAGCCACGAATGGCAGGGCCGGACAGAACGGCAATGAGCGGCTCGAAGGCTCTCTGAATGATGACCCTTTTCCTGCGAATCCTGCCTGCGCGGCCTTGGCCTCCTAGCCTCAATATGCGGCCTGCCCCAGATTTCGTATGCAGGCCATCACTTAGTGCGTGCGCCTCTTGCGCTGCCTTTCGTCAGATTGGCCGTCGTCGATTGGCACCGCTTGTCCACCACGATCTTTGCTGCCAAAGGTGTGCGACTTTTCCTGCACGCGAGCTAGACGATGAACAGCGCCGATGTGATGGGCGCACGGCCGATCGTCGCTGTCAATTCCATTCTGCACGCCCACCGTCAATCGTGGACGTCCATGAACACGACTATCCTGTTCCAAATTCCCCCTTCACCCAGCGCGGCAACGGCCACCGCGCATCGCCCGTCTGCCTCTACGCGAACTGCTCCTATGTGAAATGCAAACGCCTCTTGACCACATGTTGCCGGCGCCGGCAGCAGCGCCAATGCTGATGGGATCTGTGGAGTCCCCACAATCGCAAATTGAAAGCCCGGAGAATGCCAGCTTCAATCAAGGCATCATCCTTGCGCACCGCGTCTGGTGATGACAGACGGCGGAGATAGCATACCCATCGATGCAAATAACTCACCCAGCTCCCTATACCTTCCCTGACGACAGCATTGCAGCTTGGGATCAGGCGAACCACCTGCCAAAGCGGCATCCCGACTGAGTGCGCTCATAGATCTGGCCACGTCCAGTCGCGAGCAAGATCGGACTTCTTACCACTTCGACTTTTTCGAAACATCCATGGATCCGGAGGTGCTACTGCATTCAACAACCAGCACGTGAGGTCTGTTTTCTCACGGCAGCGGTTGGAGCGCATGTGGTGACGATTGGAAACATGTCTTCGAACATCGATTTCCTTGCATCGGCACCGTGATTCGCGCGGTCACGGCATCATCGTCGCCAGCCTGATGACGGCTTTTTGCTTATTCCCCGTCGAAAATAATACCGTCTGTGGCTTGCTGATGATGTGCGGTTGACTGTGGCACTCATCGACGATGCCCAGCTGTCGAGGGTTGCGAGATGCACGAAATCACGGGGAGCAGCAGTCGCGCTTTCTACCTTGGGACGACGCATCCTCGTCCATAATGATGATCGCAGGTGCGCATGCATCGCAGTATTGGCGCAAAGATATTCCAACGGCTGCCCTTTCTCGTACAACCTACAGATTTCTCGCCGCCGACTTCGCAGAATCCAGGCCAAGGCCAAAATTGATGGAGCGACAGAAGTGCCCCACCGCGGGGCATTTTGCAGCAGAAGAGCTCGAGCTCGAGCTCGCATGCAAGCATACACCCGAGACACAGCACTACAGCACGACCAGGAGAGCTCTGCCTGCTGCTCTTCGATCCCCGAGTCTGGAGCCGACACGGCGCTACGAGCACCCATCGCCTGCAGGCATCTCGCCCTCGTGGGCTGGCTTCGTCCTTCGTCCAGCCTAAAGACCAAACCCCATCAAACTTCAAGGGCAGCGCAAGTCAAGAGGTACGTACCTCCATCAATCGCATTCACTGCATCGAGACGTCGCCGAGGCCCTGACTCGCGGGTCTCGATGGCAGGAGGACACAGCTAGGGAATCCTCTCCTTCCTTTCTCTCTCGCTCCTGCAAAGAACCGTGAGCGGAAAAAGACCACGAGATTCCGCACATGCACACACGCATTGCGGATATCGATTCGCCGCGCGGGTTGGCGTCGTGCGACATCCTCTTTCTCCCCTTGACACATATGATGGCGCTGATGGCTGCCACGTTGAACGAGTTGGTGGCGCCGACATCACTTCTGGCGTCGCGCACGAAAGGGTAAGGTACTGGCTGAATATCGGGAGGAATCGCCACACCACCAACGAAACAATGTCCCTTAAAATCAGCAGTAAGTCGAAAATGTGTCAAAGTCTGCTTATGAATTCATCATTTCCATCGTCGTCACAATCACTCACGGCGTTCTTCTGCGGCATTTCCTGCCTGGACCACGCCAAGCCATGCAAGGCGTACTCACCTACGGTTATACAGACTATCAACACACCCGCAGCGACGTGGGAGGGCAGGTTTGACGTATGCATCCACGCCGCAGGCATGCCGCTGGGAAGAGCGAGCGCCTCGTGCGAGTGCGAAGTAGAATGTTTATGGGGCAAGCAACATGCCGTTGAATCCGCGGCGGACAGAACATGAACGCTTTCAGCCAAGCTTCGGTGATATTGTGGAGGCCGCTGTGGAGTCTGGAGTACATACATGCTACAGCCACTGCCCCAACGCAACGCAACGCAACATTCTTCTGTGGGGCAACAGTAGGCATTGGAACGTTCTTGTCGGCATTTCATTATTCATAGCGAAGAGGCGTGTCTGGACTACTGCGTGCCCGGCCAGTGTGAGTGGGAACTTCGGTCCGTCACTCCCGTCTTAGGCCCCTTGTCCTGTCTTCTGTCCCCATAGCCTTCATGCACCAAGCCTTGCATATGATGTTGACGGCCTCGCCTCGCTCATTTGGCGTCCTCTTGCTGCATGCTACGAAGATAGATGGGTTTGTGTAGCCGACCAGGAGCGGCACGAGCGGAATGTCGCCGTCAGAGCATCAGGGGGGCTCCAGTACGACGGAGGCAATGGCAGGCCTCACCCTCACAACGCTCATTTCTTGTTTTTCTTCTTCTTCTTGTTTCCACCACCTCCTCCAGCTCCTTGCTGAGGTTTTGCGTCATTCGCGCTGGGCGCCGCTGCCGCCGGTGCAGCATCTTTCGTATCGTCAGCCGCTTGCTCAGTCGCCGTAGCATCGTCCATCGCAACATCTTGAACTGCAGTAGATAGTCAGCACCCAACCATTTCACAATCCAAACCAAGCACCCATCATCCTCACCTTCCTCCTTCACCGGCAAAGCAGCCATATACCGTCCCAACGTCCCCAAACTCATGACCAACCTACCCACCTCCGCCGCCCGATTCGTCTTGAACTTGAGCACCACCCCAGACTCAGGATCATACGTCTTCAACTCGAGCGTCGCCTGCGGGATTTTGGGCGCGGCGGCATCCTCTTTGTCCTTCTCCTCTCCTCCTGCGTCTCTCTTCCGCTTTTTGCTCATCTTTTTCTGGTAGCGCTCGGACTCAAGGTTCGGGATGTTGTATTTCGTCGTGATGCGCGTCTAGAGGTTTGGATGTCAGTGGGGTTGTGGGCGGGTGGTGGTGGTTTGATGACACTTACGCACCGTTGTTGGGCGCGCTTGGAGGAGGCGAGAGGTTTGTGTTTGCCATTCTTGGCTTGTTGCTAGTAGCACCATCTTGAAGGGTGCGGTGTCGTTTTATGTGGTCAGTGTGTATGAGACGTCGAGTGATCGCGGAGATGAGAGAGCATCATTTGAGGTCTTGGCGCGCTAGACTCAGCCGGGAAGGAACGTCGGACTTCAGTTGTGAGTCCTTGCTCTTACTCACGATGGATTGTATCACATGCTTTCTTCATAGCCTGTCTTCCTTCTGAAATCTTGCAAATTTGCATTCTCTGGCGTTTGGTAGCATTTGAAAGGCGCAATAGATTGCTGGATGATCCACGCAAAACTCTGATTTTGCCCCTACCAACTCCTTGAGGCACATTCAATCTCGACAATGGATCAATCCAACGAAACTCATCTGGCCACCGATGGCGGAAATGATACCCAATCAGCCATATCAGTCATACAAGACTTGAACCACCGAGCCCTGGTCCTGATCGAGGAACTGGAGACTTTCCGGCAACATCTACGCCACATCCGACAAGAAGGATCAGTGGAAGTCGCACACTTCCGATCGACCGTTCAGTCCGAAGTTGGCATGCTGGAGAGACTCCTCAAGAAGCCGGACAATGCATCAACGACCCATATCGCCCGATCATCGAACCTGCCTTTCCTCGAGACCGTCTGGGCCACGGCGAAAAAGTCGAAGAAAGTTACGGCTTTGCAGAAACGGATCTACTACAATTCCAAATCGAAGTCTTTGTCTCAGGCCATGCATCATGTCGGTTTGGTGTCGAAGGTCAAGAACTCGTCTGATCGCAAGAATGCAGCTGTTACGGTTGACGCTATCACCAATGATGGTTTGACGTGGATCAAAGTGTCCCTCGTCACCAACACAAGACTTCTCTTCGATCTGGCAAAGCAAGGCTGGCAGTCCGAGGGCTCAGAAGATGAGGATGCGGATGTTGTCTTTGGTGATGACGATGGGTCGGATGTTCCTATTGTCAAGAATGCTAAAGACCTCTGCCAAGCGGCTCAGTCCTATCGCGCGAAGACCAGGATCCCTGCTGTGCATCTCATACTACCTAGAGTCCAGCCAGGGGAGACGGATGAGATCGATGCTATTCTGGACGACTGCAGAGCAGCTGGTGCGGTCGTCTTTTGCGGCGAAGACCTGCAGAGCACTCCCTCACTGCAAGAAGCCTTGCCGACTATGGCACCAGACCCGTTCTCACTATTCTCGGATACACTCAACATCGATTGCACAATACTTTTGGCTTTGGTGTCAGAGTTCTCGCATGCCAAAGTGTCAAAAGAACCCTGGTTCCACAAGTCCTTGCAGCGACAAGTAGAGATTGAGGGCAACGAGAATCTGCTACCTGCCCTTCTGTATCCAGCTATGGGCGAGCATAAGTTGGTATGTACTAAGGAGGCCGCAAAACGCATGCGTGAGATCGTGGACACAATTGGCACACCATCCGAGACGGCACGCACGGCGATCATGATGGGCGATGATGAGTCCAAGTCACAGCAAGGGCTGATCGAAGAGATGCAACATTGGTCTGCCTACGAAGTTCCGGGGTACTGGCAGCTGCCCATTCGAGTCGTCGACGAAAATGAAGGCGGCTGTCTATCCAACCTCCCAGAGGAGTCTAATTCAGTCAGCACGAATATGACCGCCATCAACCGCTCAGTTTTCCTCTACGGCTGGGGAACAGGCAACACTACCATTACCAGCAATCGAACAGTCGTGAAACAACTCGAAAGCGACTTGGAGAAGTACGAAGACCTGGACGAGACCGTGTGGCCAAGCATCTGGCTGTGTCCAACCGCTCGCTCGCTGGTGGGCAAAGAGAAGAGAGGTGTCAAAAAGGAGGAGAGAAAAGAAGGTGCGTGGCCGCTGCCAGATCCGCTGCGTAGAGAGGAGCAGAGAAGGAATGGTCTTGATGTGCTTTCTTCGAGAGAAGGACATGAGGTGGAGGATTTGAGGCCGAATGGATACCCTTGCAACGAGGTGCTGGAGGCGAAGAAGGCGGCGAGAAGACTTGTTGAGAATGGAAGTGCTGTGCCGGGGGAGGAGGAGGGCTGAATGGTTGGGGTAAAAAGAACTGCAGGAGCTGGAGGAGCTGGAGCTGAAGCTGTACTACTATCCGGACCGCTCATTCAACATCCAAGAGGTATTTGGTCGTCCCCGTCGCTCCCCGAACGAAAAGCTCCCGTCTCTTGTCGCCCACGCCTTTACCGCCGTCGATACCGCCGCTCTGAACTCCTGAACCGCCCATCTCGTCGTATCCATCACGATGTCCACCTCCCTCCTCCCCAGCTCTTCCAAATAAAGCCCCTCAAACAAAGCCCTCTCCCCGACTTATCGACGCCCTCATCACCCACATCCCGAAACAAAGCGAGCTTCCCAACAAAGCACCATCTTCCCCGTCTCCTCCCCAAACTCTGTGCAGCACCTCACACCAGGATCCCCAGTCGGCAGAAGTCCTCCCTGGTCCTGAAGCGGAAGTCGGTTCTGGGGTGATGGATATGGGTATGGGTACTTGGCCCCGCGATCTGGTTTGAATCTTATTCTCCTGCAGAAGATGAGGTGGTGTGATGGGTTGGGCCGCGGAGGTCTGGGTGATTTTGTGGATTTGTGGTGTGGATGGTGGATTAGTTTTGACGAGGTTCGAGGGGCGGTTGTGAGTGCAGATGTTGCCGGTGGTCGGTCGAGGAGGTACGAATGGGAGGGTGGCTCAGATACTTGGGCGGCCGCTAGAGTGATCGAGAGGATGGCCGGTTAGTGAAGAGACGAAGTCGAATGGTGGCACTTATCGATGTCTGGGAGAGTTCAGTATGATCCAGTCAGGAATCGCCACCTACCTCAGGACTTGTGTCACTTTCTTTGAATATTTAAATGCACGTGTCGGCACCCCGTCGATATCACGAGCTTCTTTCGCTGGTGATTCTTGAGATGGCGACTAGAGCTGGATGTGAAGTATGCAGTGATGCCGGAGTCGTACCAACAGAGTCGCAGGATGAGTCTTGTGTAGCTGGCATTTGAAGAGTATAGTGATGCTGGGCGCGTGGCCTTCGGCGGTCTTGTGCCAGTTGCCTCTATTGAGCATGCGGAGTGGGAACTGAAGCTGGACGTGAGGTGAGGCTTCGAATGATCTGATGTCTGAAAGAGCTTCGCCATTGCAAAGTGCTGAGTGAAGCCTCCAGGACCCAGCAGCATGTGCCAGGGACTGATGGCCTGCCGATGGTTGTTAGCACGCCGGGCCATAAGGGCGGCCCGGACACCCAAGTTCGAAGAAGGCCAAAGGACAACACGAAGACACCACCCGATCTGTGGGCATTGCGCCGACACCGCAACCCAAGAACAGCTCTTAGCAAGTACCACGCGGGTCCAGCTCAGGGAGATCGCACACCGGATGGACAAGACAACTGCAAGACGCCAGCCACGAGCGCCTGATGCCACATTGCCTTGCCCATGAACCCGGTAGGACTGGTAAGCGAGTGCCCGGCAGCGAGCTTGCTGGTGTGCTGGAGAGTTGGCAAGTGCTGAAAGCACGGCGTTGGACCAAGCGACGAGGAGACCTCGATGGCACCGCTGACCAGTGCGCACATACTCGGCAACACCGCACAGGAAGTGATGTCTCGTGAAGCCGACAACGACTCGCGCGCACACGCTGCAGGTGTCAGGAGTGCTCGCAAGAGTAGTCTCGATTGCAAGTTTTAACCCTTTCTCCACAGGCGTGCTCGCGTGCTGTAGATCTGGAGACAAGGGCTTACAAGAGTGGTCTCAATTGCAAGTCTTGACCTCCTTCGCTACACGCACGCGTGCGGGTTGATGTCGCCGAGGGGAGGGAATGGAAGGGGGGATGCATACCTACGCTCTCGGGAGCTAGCTGTGTATGTTGGTGTGGTGCTGCAGAGCATAGGCGAAAAGGAGGAAGGAAGGTGGCGACGTCTCTGAGCTGTTGTGATGGAGGAGTTGAGGAAGAGAAGCGCGGCTTTTGAAGCTCTGTTTGCGACGCTCGGGCCACGCTGTGACTCACGGCGCCTCCACGTGACCATGCAAACGGCGAGTGAATGGGCGACTCGCCAAGACCACGCTAGTGCGCGTCACCTTTCTGTCGACCTCGCCAAATTCCGGACTACTTCCTCGTCGCAGGACACACCCCGAGCAGATCCAGCATGACCAACATCATGTCTTCCGCCTCGGGCATGCCTAGCAGCCCCACGAAGAAGAAGAGTCGCAATCGCGCCGGTCACATCAAAGATGCCAAGGCGGCACAAGCAAGCGCTCTCTCCGCCAGTCTCGAGGATCGCAAGGCCAATGAGGGTGACTACGAACAGTCTCTCGAGGAGACTGGCCCTGAAGATACCTTCGCCGTTCCACCAGCCTACCAGCCAGCTCGTCACATCTTCAAAGTACGTCTCCTACGAGTGTCGTCGGCACCGGCAGTCAGTACTAACAAGCTTCATAGGTCGGACATCAAAGCCATCGCATTCCCACAGCAGGATACCAAGGCCTCTGAGAAGACCGCAATCCAACCAGAGACTGATGTCGCCGAGATGTGGGAGAGACTTGCGACGACCGAGGCGTACATTGCCGAGCTCGAGGAGATGAACCAGCGTCTCGAGAATGAGCTCGAGGCCAGCAAGCTATCACAACCCATTCCAGCGACAGTGACCAACGGTAACAAGGTCGCTGGGGCGGGCAACGCCACAGTCGAGGCCCTGCGATCGCGCCTCCGCAAGTACAAGAAGCTGGCCGAGGACCGTGGCAACCGCTGCATGGCCTTCATACGCTCGAACCGGTCCCTACGCAACAAGCTCGACGAGCTCCACATCAACATGCGGCCGGCCGCCAAGCGCGACAGCGTCCGCGTTTTGCTGCTCGAGGACATTCTCGCTGAGCACGAGGAGCGCCGACGTATGGACAAGAAGCTGCTCGCGGAGATCATTGCGAAGCATCCTATCCGTCAGGATCCACAGAAGATTTGAGCGACGCCGCGAGGTGATGGACAGAAGGACTTGTCGGAGTTGGAAAGCATGGGAGGCTCGCGTGCAAGAAGGTCTAGAATTGCACACTGATAGAGTCTCCATACGCTGAAATGATTGAATGAAACACTGTCTCAAGGCCTTGTAGAGGGTACCATACCATACACTCTTCCCGCATATTCTTTCGTTGTAGCTTTTGGGGTATGCGCAAAAGTTGGGGAGTAACCACAAAGATCCCCAGTTTGACAACGAAGACTGACTGTTGATTTCGCTGCCTGTTTGCACGGATGGGCTTCACGTTTTGGAGATTTGCATCTTGGAGAGTGGACTGACAACCATGGGCATCAGCGTTGACTCTAGATGTTGATGCATGCCAGCGGGTGTAGGCCAGATGTCGGAGTAGTAGCGAAGCGATCGGCGACCGAAGAACTGCGGTTATTTCCAGTCTAATAGTAAAGATTGCAGCAAAGTGAGCTTTGTGGCCACTGAATAAACCAAGAACAATAGAGAGAATGAAGTTTTCTAGGACCGCCTCGTCACCTTCTCATGTTCACAATGGAAAGAAGTTGTGCACTAGCGTGGTTTGCTCCTTCCTAATCGGGACTAGCGTAAGGTCTGCTTTCATGTGATGCTTCTCTTCGCAATCCTTCCTTCCCGCTTTCCATCGCCTTCAGTTCTGGCCATTCGTACTTGCAGTGTGACAATCAGCCCACCTCGAGTCGTTGCTCAAGGATCCATAGTAGCGCCCAAGAAGCTGTATTAAGAGTCGAGAAGCAAGGCCGCCCCCGTCAAGGCCATCTTCCCAGGCAGTTTAATTCGCTTACAATTGATGTCAACGAGAGCTCACTCAGGAGAAGAATGAGCAGAAGACAGCTTAAGGACGGACGGCGCCTGTCAGACTCTTCGTGTTTAAGGCTGAGCAAACTTCGACCTGGCTCTCAGCGTCGCTCCAAAATAATAAAGCGCAAAGACTCCTACCACCCCTGCAAAAGATAGTCCAGCAAGAAGTGATATACCCCTGGCGATCCCAAGCGCATCGAAAAGAGGACGAGCGTAGAGCACTGCACCAGCCGCCCAGGCGGACCGGCAAAAGTCATTCGCTGCAAACAGACTAGCCGCGTAGTCTGGATAGGAGAGGGGAAGGTACATAAAGATGCCTGGAAAAGTCAGCCCAGGTACGTCTGCAGGATGTGCTATCTTACCTTGGAAAAGTATGAAGCCTCCCGTGCTGAAAAGAGCGATGCCGATCATGGAGAAGATCCAGTGGACGTCGCTACGACTCGTCCAGGCGAAGAGGAACAGTCCAGCCGGCTGCAGGATCGAGGCAAGAACGGCAGGGAGGAGGCGCTCTTCCTGAAGACCTGGACCTCGTCTTTTGAGTTTTGCTTCCTTCACGTATTGTCAGTATAGTCTTTGGAAAATAGACTTTGGATTCTCTGAGTCTCATAACAGGTATCAGTACAGGTAGCTCACGTAGATCGCGGATCCAACCAGACATGCAATGACGATGGACAGAAATGCCGTCCCCGTTAGGCCAAGACTAAAGCCGTAAGTACCCGTGTAGACAAGGGGGAACGCTTCGAAGAAGCTGTAGTACACGCCATAACTGTAGGAGCTGTACAGATTTGTGAACAAAACTGCCGGATCCATGAAGGTAATTTGAAGGGGCCGAATGAGAGCCTGAGTAGCGATCTGGCTAGCAGATTGTTTGGCGTCATCGATCTCAGATTGGGAGACGTAGCGGTTGTCTTGCTCTCGTTTTCGAATGCGCTGGGCCCGGCGGAGTAAGATCGTCGCTGCAGACGTCTCGGGGAAGAAAGCCAGCATGATGATAAACGTGAAGACTGCCATCCATAAGATTTCCCACAACGACCAACGCCAGTCGTTGCTCGCGACGGCAAACCCTGACAAGACGGGACCAAGAGCAGGGGCGCAGAAGGTTGCTCCAACCCAGGCGGTGTGTGCGTAAGGAAGTTTCAAAGGCGAATACATGTCTGACAGTGTCGCACCTCCTGTCGCAAGACACGGCGAGCCCAAGACCCCCGTCAAGAACCTCAAGACCAGGAAGCCAGCGAAGGACTTGACAAGAACCGTTGGGATTGCGAGAAGGACGAACAGGAACAAAGTGACGCTGTGAGGCAAGTTGCGACCGATTCGAGGAATCTCCGACAGTGGGGAGAACACCAGAGGACCAATCCCGTAGCCCAGAACGTACAGCGAGAGGCCGAGAGATGCCACAATGTGGCTGACGTTGTACTCAGCCTGAACGCCTTCGATGCTCGGTGTGTAGATCGCGGATGCACAGTACACTGTGAAGGTGTAGATCCAATGCACGATAGTTACGACGACTTTCTTGCCAGTGGACCAATTCTTGGGATTTTCCGGATCACGTTCGTCGTACCAGTCCACCAGGATTGTTTCTTTTCCATACGGCGAACTTTTCTTCTCCTCATTATACAAGTTGTTTGCCAGTCCAGATTGCTTCCATGCTCTTTCGTTCTCGTCGGTAAGCGCTTCGGGATCCTGTAATCCGGTTTGGCTGCTGGGGCTCAGAGTTGATGAAAATCTCGCAGAATTCGTATGGGTAGTGACGTCGCTGTTGAGCTTCTCGCGGCTAGATTGAGGGCCTTCGCCATTGAAGGAATACTTGAAATTTGGTTTCTCATCGGGATACAGCAGACATCGATTGCGACAAACGAAACGAATGATTTGCCCAAGCGTGCTGTCGCGGAGTAGATCCATCTGACACGTCTGAAATACCAAAGTACAATGCTGCGTTCGAAAAGTATCGCTGGTTGAAATTTAGCATGGAATTTATTGCGTATAAAAGCACAATAGCGCCAGTAGAAAAGTTGAACTCCTAGCAAGGCTGTCTGCCAAGCTCGGGCGAGACACGGGCGAGATGTTGATCTGTGTGGACCCAGCGCCGCTATAGTGACACCGTTCCAAGCTTCTAGGCTCAGGCTGCTAGACCATGAAAATTTCTGGTGCTTGCCTCGACGACGAGCTTTGCGACAGTCTCTCCTTCACAAGTCGTTGTCAGTGGCTGAGGCGAAATGGCCTCAAGATACACTGGCCTTACACGTAGAATAGTTGGGTACACGCTCATCATCTTGACAGTCTGTACACACATGTGCCTTAAAAAGCTGCAATCATCATGGTGCTCTATAAAACATCACAATTGAATATTGAATACAACTACGCAGACATGTCAAGCACCGCCTTCGCTTGACCACCAACTCCCTCTTGTCGCATAAAATTCTCAAAGTGATGCGCGAACAGCTCCGGTCGATTATAATGACCCGCAAAATCCATGCCATACTTCGGCACCAAAACATCCTCAGGCCGCACAGATGCGTACAGAATCCCCTCCTTAGTCTCGAGAGGCGTCGTGAGGGTCCTCCCATCTGGACCAATAATCGACGACAAGCTTTTCTGTCTCTCTTGTTTCAAGTAATCCTGGATTCTCTGGTCGATTCCGTACGCCTCCATGGCACCTTCATCGATAACGCCAACACAGTTCAGCACGAAGCATTTCAGCGAGTAGGCCAGGCCGTGCGTGGAGTTCTGTATGCCGTTTTCGAGGTCGCTGCCGGGTGCGAAGTGGGTTGGCCATGAGGCAACATGTACAACAGGGTACAATAGGCGAAGCGAATACATCGCGAGCGGGTTTGCATTCTCGCCGCACATCAGGGCGCTGAGTGTTCCGAAAGGCGTCATCGTTGATGCTGTACTCCCCGTCTGTCCAGGGGTATGCATGAGTCGTTCCGTCAACGTAGGGACGTACTTTCGATGTTTGCAAGCAATCTTTCCGGCGGGATTGATCGTCAACTGGGTATTGTAAAGAGTCCTTGTGGTGTTGGCTAAGCGCTCCGTGATTCCGACAACAGCCCATACATTTGCGGCGCGACAGGCCTCGCCGAGTGCTGCAGTTTCTGGCCCTGGCACTTCGACGGCATTCAGGAACAGCTTTTGATATAGCGAATGAGCCTTTGGTTGGTCCAGTGGTAGCATTTCTATCCAGCCTGGATAGCCGGGGATGATGGACTCAGGAAAGCCGACCACCGTGCTTCCTTGTGCCGCAGCTTCTTGGATCTTCGTGCACACTTTCTGTGTGGATGTTTGTTTGTCCAGAAAGACCGGTGACATTTGGACTGCAGCTATCTTTATTTCATCTTGAAAGTTGATCTCTGGACGTGTCTCGGACGGCAGATGAGTCTGCTGCATCGTAGGCCGGCGAGAGATGGCGGAGGGAGAGTGTGTGCGGGGCAGTGTCGCGAAGAAGGTGGCGCCAATGACACAGAAGTCCGTTGCGAATGTGACAAGTTATACCTCATGCTATTCTACCCGATTCATCTGCCACCTTAATCGAGACGGCAGGCCGCACCTAACAATATCTTAACCTATATGACCTAGGCAGGTGCTCGATTGACCCTTGATCCTTGTTATTAGATAGACCTTACTTTACTTCTCGCTTCACTTAAACCTCTCCTTTACTAAAAATAATACTATTTAAACGCCTATTATCGCTCTAGTATGACTTTATACGCCGCTACCTTCGTACTCGCTTCAAACTACTCGCACTACTCGTAATCTAAAGATAACAGCGATAATAGCGAGTATAGTAACTTAAACACGGTATATACTCGCCTAAAGTGTTCGTAAAGCCGTTACTAATAATCTATATAGATACCGCCGCCCTACGACTAAAGGCGAGTACTACT